GAAGCGTTGTGCATTTTAGTGCATGACAAAATAGCTGCAAAAGCAGGTGGAGTGATGTATCTGAAGCTGTGCCTAGTGGTTATTCCCAGGACTGGCCACCTTGGGCTGTGCAGTGTCCTTTTGTGACCTGGATGAAGACAAAATAGTTTGTATGACATCTGGAAATGTCACCAGAATAAGGGGGATGGTGAGCACCATGGCTGAGAAGATAAGAGCTAAAAAAAAAATTATTGTTGCAATTTCATAAATGGATTGAAAGAGGAAAGAAACCGGGATTCAACTTGTTAGACATATGTGCAGTTTAGTTCATTGGAAATAAAAACCAGCATGTGAAAGAACTACTGGATGGGCAGCAATTCTGCAGGACAGAACATGCAGGCTACAGAAGAGTGTGATTCTCAAGTGTGACTCCATGACAGTGTGGAAAAGGTAAAAAACAACATGGGGGGGGAAATGGGCTGTAAATACTGTTGGCCTGTGATTTCATGCTTTCTCTCTGTGGCATCTCTTGATAAGGCCTCTGCTGGTGTACAACAGCCAGGGGAAGGGGTGTTTTTCTGCTTGAGAAATGTGTAATCACTGCATAATCTGGAGAAGGGAAAGAGGAGGCTGTAAATTCAGCAGCTGGGGTGGGGGCAGTGACAAGAAAAAGTGACAGTGACATCCCTGTGGGAGACAAACTGCAAACATGGAGCCTGTGTCTCTCAGCTTCATGCTGAAGAATTTGAAGAGCTGCTTCCCCTCTGCAGTTCTATGGGATTAGGTATTTTGGGTGTGCTGCTTTGAAATAGTTTATCAGCTGTGATCCATCCATTTGACACTATTCAGGAGCCCCTGAACTGGAATGTGCCTGGCAGGACACACCCCGAGTTGATATACCCTCCTTACTCATTACGGGAATGTGCCTGGCAGGACACACCCCGAGTCATTACATCACTTTCCTATGTTTTTCTTTGGTGTTTTCAGGCAAGGTTGGATGGTGTGGTACCATCTTGGCTATTTTGCTGATTTTCCTACTGCAGTAATGATGTCTTTGTTTCCTAGGAGGCTCATTTCTTTGCATTGCATGAACTAAACTGAAAATGGACAAAGTAGGTAGACCAACAGATGAAAACTGTCAAACCCCCCAAAGGATTTCCAGAAGTTATTTTCCAGTTATTTTCTTTTATTAAAGGCACAGGTTTTAATGTGCCAAATGTTGTTGAGTCATGGACAGAGAACAAGCCCTGTGGACTTAGAGCTGAACCTCAAAGTCAAAGACCAGATTTGCTTTAGAGAGTGGATCTTTTGAAAACTTTTCCCTGCAGGTGTAGTCCACAGAAGCAACTAAGCAAACACTGTGAGTTAGGCTTGCATCCCATGGGAAAGGCCATAAGAAATCACTAATCACATAATAAATACTTGTATTAGTCTGCACCACAGTTTTGGCATGTGCTTTCAAGCAGGTGTTTGGAAAGACCTCTTGGGAGAAGACAACTACACACCTCACAAAGCCCAGCACGGGAGGATGCTAACACATGTGCTTCCAAGCTCTGCTTTGTTTTGGGTGCCAATTTCCCATCTACTTTGTCTTCCAGTCTGCTGCCAAGCTTGCACTCATGGAAATACAAAGCTGATTGGTGACACGGTGTGTTTGCCCTGCTTTGTTTATTTGTAGAAAATTCAGTTCATAATTCCTCAGTTTGCAGTCAGCACCCACTTTTATGTATCATCCCAGGCAAAGAATAGGTAATGATTGCAAAGTTAATTCTATTTTTCTGTAGAAAATTCTGCTTCATGTATCCATTTCAATGAAGCTATTGGGCTAGATCCCAGATGGTTGTGGTATTCATCTTTCCACCAGGCATTTATCCAAAGTTTTACCCTCTGAGTAAAGAGGGAGAAAGGCCAAGTCATCTTGCTACTTTTACATTTAAGTAATTTACATTTGCTCAGAGATGCCATAAGCAGCTGGGTCTCAGCTATAACTCTCTGGGTAATACATTCCTTCTTGTAAAAAAACTGGGAAGCCATTTTCCTTGCTGCCTTGTAAATGCACTGAGTGAAGTTAAGCACAAAGCAGACCATTCATTGCTGCTTCCCAAGAGTGTGTTTACTTAATCCAGGATTGGTCTGGGGAGGGGGAACGGGAATTAACCAAAGAAGGAATGAGCAGAGCAATGAGTGAGACCCTCACAGACACTGAGGTGGGACACACTTTGGTGTGAGTGAGATTACAGCTGATCACCCTGGATCCCGAGTCCTCTGAGATGTCACATATTTATTATTTATACCCAGAGACTGGCATTCTATATAATAGAAACAGACCATTAATCACAGGCCTTTTCTTTCCATGCTTTTACAAGCAAAGATCCTCAAATCTTCATCCAGGCTAACAAAGCCCCAGTGTCCCAGATGGAGCTGATTAGTCAGATTTGATGATTACCAATAAGGGAGCCCTGTTCAGACTTGCAAAGGAAAAGGGAAATGTGGATTCAGGTTTGTTTCAGGAATGATTAGTCAGTTTTCCTTTGAATGGTGGAAACAGCCCTGAAGAAATCTGGCAGCATGAAGGCGTGGCGTGGAAATGTTTGGGTTTGTTGTTTGTGTATTTTGCCAGAGAGCTAAAAGCCCCCAATTATGTCAGACTGAGAGCTAAAGGACAGAAATATCACAGATGGAGTTTCATTATTAAAGGTGTCTTTAGTTTTACTCAGACTTTGTAAGGAAATAGGATGCTGGTACCTGGGCTGGGCACACAAACCTCCTGCAATCAGAGGTTCCCAGTTCTGGATCAAATTGGGTTTCCCTAAGTAATGTTTGCAATTACAGCTGTAGCTGCAAGAACTTGGACCAAAGCCTGGGATTCAGCTTTCATGTCAAATCTAGGATTCAGAGAGAAGGGCTTTATGTCAATATTCTGTTCCAGCAGTCAGGGCTGAGTTTTTACTTTCCAACCCCAGCATAAAAATAAAATGTTAATTGATCATGATACCTTGCAAAATGCTTTTCTGCTGGCGTGTGAAAAGCTATTGCTGATGAAATTGATGAGTTCTTGTTTCTCTATTCTTTCCTCGTGTGTGTGCACATCTTCTGTCTTGTGCCTAGAATTCAAGCTATGTTGGAAATCAGCTGGAGTGGGGTTTGCCTAGTTGTGAGCCAAGGGAGGGCTTTTGGACTAAGATAACATCAGGAATAATAATAACGATAGCAAGCAGCCGGATTTCCTTGGCTGATTAATCTGAAATCTCCTTAGAGACATTCAGGAAGACAATGTAAGATTTTCTCTGGCAGTAGCTGACTGGGGTTTTTTGTCTACCAGTTTCCCCTAAAATGTTTGTCACATTGCCAAGCAGCTCTGTTCCTTTGATATGCAAAGTGCTTTGAAGAGAGAATCCCTCAATTACCTCTATTCCCAAAGCATGACAATGTAGTAAGGAGGGAAAGGGGATTTTTGTCTTCAGACATCAGTCAGTATAAAAAAGAAACACTTGTGTTTGTAGGGTCGTCTTCAAGTACAAGATTTTTGAAGTGTTCGTGTAAGATTTACTCTTTTGTAGCTATACTAGTATCCCCACATCGAGCTCTGTTTTGAGAATAGTTACAGATAATATGTGGGTTTTGAGATATGCCTAGAAGTGAAAGACACTGGTAATGACATCCTCAAAGGATACAGGGAAGGTATTGCAGAACAAGAAGTATTAAATACATGTGATGCAATACTTGCCTTCTCATACATCTCTAATGATTTAATAACCAGTGGCACCAAGATATACCTGATATAGCATCTGTTTTATTAGAGCTTCTTAAAATCATTGGGTTCCAGTTTGAAAAAACAGCCTGGATGTAGTGTGGTTCAGAAGTTCTCTCTGTTGTTAATGGTGGGAGAAAGCTAGTGTTGTGCCAGTGTTTAATGGAACAGTCCTGACAGAATGCAACTTTTGGGATGCTCAGACAGCTGCAATCCCTGTCCCAGTGGTGAAGGGGAATGACTGCTCTCCAGCAGGCTGTGTCCTGTGGGACTCTGAGGTGCCATGAAGAGGAGGCTGGGGAGCCCTGGAGCCACCCCCTCTGGGGTGATGTGCTGGCTTTGGCTGGGATAGAGCTCATTTTCTCCGCACCAGTTGGTATGGGGATGTGTTTTGGGTTTGTGCTGAATGGGGTTGGTAATACAGAGATGTTTTTGGTATTTCCGAGCAGAGCTTACAGAGCTAAGGCCTTTTCTGCTTTTTGTATGGCCACGTTGGCAAGAGAGTGGGGGTGACACAGCTGGGACAGGTGACCGCAGCTGACCAAAGGGGTACTCCAGACCGTATAACATGATAGTATATAAAGGGGAGGAAGAGGGGCTGTTGGGAGGGATGGAGTGTGGATATTTGGAGCCTTCCCAAGCCACCATTAGATGTGCTGGGGTGCTGCTCTCCTGGAGGTGGCTGAGCACTTGCCTGCCCTGGGGAAGCAGTGAATTCATGCCTTGGTTTGCTTTGCTGGTGTGCATGGCTCTTGCTTTTCTTGCTACACTGTTGTTACCTCAACCCACGAGTTTTCCAGCTTTAACCCTTGTGACTGTCTCTCCAGTGCTGCTGTGGGGAACAAGTGGGTGCCTGTGGGGCTGGGCTGACAGCCGGGGTTACATCGGGATGGGGGAACCGGGAGGTGCTCCAGGGCAGGGCAGAAGAGCCCCTGGCACCTGCCTCTCCTCAGGGACCCCATCCAGCTACGTCGGGCTCGTCCCGGGCTGCGCTCCGCTCCAGCCGCGGCCAAAATGACAGCCACGCCTGCGAGATGCGGCACTTGGAGGGAGGGCTGCGGCGAGCCCTGAGGAGGAAGATGCGGGGGCACCCGACATCTCCCTTCCCTCTCCATAGCCCGGCCGTGCCCACCTCAGCTTCCCCTCAGCCCGTCCCGAGCCGGCACCGGGAGCGGCCCCGCCCGAGCCCCCCCTCCGCCGCTAGGCGGCGCTGCCCCCGCCGCGGAACGCGAGGCGCCGCCGCCGTGTTCCCGGCGGGACGCGGGGCGGGCGCGGGCGGAGCGCTGAGCGCGATGGCGGCGGGCGGCAAGGTGAGGGCGGGGGCCGGGGCTCCCCGGGCGGCGTGTCCCGGGTCTACCCTCACGCACCCGGGCTGGCCGCCCAGCCGCCGCCGGTGCAAAGCCGAATAGCTGAGAGGGAATCGGTGTTCCTGCTCTAGAGCACTGTGCATCTCCCGCAGCAGCAGCAGCTACTGGCATTGCTGTTGCTAGAGTAATGGTAGAACTGGTTTTGCTCTGTTGAAAGTGCAGTCTGTGTGTGGTGCGTTTAAGGGAACTTATTGGTGAAAGCTGTGTTCAGGTCTCCTGTGATACAGGGGAGTTGAGTAAAGGCTTTAAGCGCAGCTTTATCTGCGCTGCTGTAGCCCTCTCTGCCTTTGCTTTGTTGTAGCGGCTTCAGCGCCCAGGGGCCGGAGATGAAGGCAGGCGCGTTCCGTATCGCCCTTACCAGCCCTTGAGCAGCAGGCTGCTGTGGCTCAGGTGTGACGGTGCTGTCCTGGTCACAGGCCACAGCTTCGGGCCAGTGTCGCCCAGGACCCTGCACCCGCTTCTCTGCCGTCTGTGAAGAGAATTTTACCCTTCTGGACACAGGATGGATTTGGCTGCCAGCCGCTGTGTGTTTTCAGGGAGCACAGCACCAAGCCGAGGGTCTGCAGCTGCTGCTGTGGTAGATACAGCAATTCCTCAGGCTGGAGTGGGCACTGACTGGGCTCTTGTGAGAGCACAGTGCAGCCTCTGGAAGTGCCTCTGCTCCTCTCTGAGCTTCTGCAGACCTGGCTGACTCAGGCACTTATTCCCAGCTCCCAGGCAAGCCTGGTGCAGGCAGGGTGAGGAGTAGAGTGCTGAGACTGAGTGTAACCTGCTTGTGGAGCTCTGCTGCTCAGCAGGTACTTGGAGTTGCTTGCAAGGCCATATTCAGGTCTTAGAGCAACAACTTTTCTCGCTGTTCATCCACTTTACTCTGTAGAATCTACATCTTCTGTCACTTGACAGACTTAGGATCATTGCTCACATCCTTTTGTCAGCTTAATTTCTTCTGGAATTGGATATATTTTGTATTTTAAAACAAGTCATCTGGCTCTAGCCTAGATAATACCTGACTTTCCTGTGTTCTGGCAAACAGGTTTTTTTCAGTCAGTGTAATTTAGTCTAATGGTAGCCCATCAAGCAAGGTTTTGATGTATATTTAGGGAACTTTGGTTTAATCCATGAGAATGAATTTGAGCTGGCCTTGGACATGCAGGGCCTCATTTTGCTGAATGCCTCTTGCAACTACCTTCATCTGGATGATTAATCAAGATAAGGGAAGTTTGTGAAACAACTTTAGAGGAACTTAGAGTGAAATGAGAAATTACAAAAAACAATTTTATGTAATTCTAGTGTATAAATCAATTCACGGGCAGACTTGGGCAGTGTTTTGTATAATCAGCTAAAGAGGTGATCAGAAATGCAAATGTATAGATTTAATATGAGGGATTTAAGCCCCTAAATTGAAATTGGAATTCATCCTTCCAATTGTCAACTAAAATATCTGTTTAATTTTCTGGTGCAGAAGAGCCCTTAGATCCCTAATACATTCATGGGATTGTGTAGAAATTACATGCCCTTTACAGGTTATTGTGTAAAAGGATTTTTTGTATATTTCACTGAAATGTCTGGAACATGGTACAGGATGAAATTGTTTTGCTTTCAGGACAGTTATACCAGTTCTGTCTTCTACCATTGTCTCTTATTAACAGTTAGTGTAAAACAAAACACTTGTAATGGAGTTTGATTTTTAGGTTCTGTATGTACCCTTTTAAGTAATTGTGCTTGTATTTTATTTTTTATTCTCATTCATTCTTTCCAGGTGGCAACAGTGCTGTGCCTGGATGTAGGCCTTACAATGAGCAGCTCTTCCCCTGGTGAAGAGTCTTCACTTGAGCAAGCCAAGAAGATTATGACAAAGTTTGTGCAGCGACAGGTGTGTGTGACTTCATAAGTGTTAAAAACATCTGTGAAACATTTTCCTCATTTTCTGATAATTGAAATAAATGAGGAATGAGTGAGAATTAGTCTCTGTTTATGCAGGAGTGCCAGGGCTCTCTGTTTCAGCTGTATTTTTTGTGCATGAGATGTGTCAGTTGGGTTGGTCACCCTTTTTCTTCAGGGCAGCAGAAACTTTAGGGAAAAGAATTGCTTTTCTCTTTCTCTAAAATATTTCAACACTTACTAATTGCCACGCAGAAGACTCATTTTGAGGACTGAATCAACCAACTTGACTTGTTTTATCCCAGATAGCCTCTTGTAAATTTGTTAGTTTAATCATGTCTAACTTTGTGGTCTCACTGTAAGTTTACATTTTGAGAGGATAGCACCGAATAAGTAAAAATCAGTAAATCCATTGTAATTGATGCTTCAGAATAAGTTCAGCTTGCTCTAATCTGCCTAACATAGTTGTGTATGAATCTACCTGTGTTTTTATACCTTTTTTGTGTTCTCTGTATCTGCAGGTTTTTGCTGAGAGTAAAGATGAAGTCGCTGTAGTTCTGTTTGGCACTAATGGCACTAGAAATGGCCTTGCCAGTGAGGATCAATACCAAAACATTACTGTACATAGATCACTAATGCTGCCAGATTTTGATCTGCTGGAAGACATTCAAAGTGTGATTAAAGCAGGCTCTAAACAAGCAGACTGTATCCTTTTACTGAAGAGCACTTCTTGAGCTGATTCAGCTACGTAGGAGACAGGAAGTCAGTGTTGCAAATTTGGGCTCAGCTTCCCAAGTTTTAACTACTATCCGAGTTGAGCTAATTTGTGGTTGTAAGTTTGTCCAAAAGCAGGCTTAGCTGCTTTTTGACGTTCTTTTAGGCTAACAGATGTAGCCTTGGCCTTAAAAAGAATCATTGCTGTTATGAAGTGTTCTGTTAATTAGAGAGAACAAAGATAGTAATATAATTTTAGGCTTCAAATAAGGCATGTATTTTTAAAATAGCATTACAGAACTTGGTTTATGCTTTTTAATAAAAATGTTGTTTATGAAGTAAGTCAGCAGAAGTTCCAGAAACCAGGCTGTCGTGATTTCAGCCCAGCTGGCAACTCAGCCTCACACAGCTACTTGCTCATTCCCCCACCAGTTGGATGGGGAGAGAACTGGAAGGGTAAAAGGGAGAAAACTTGTGAGATAAAGACAAGTTAATAGGGAAGTTACAAGCTGTGCACACAAGCAGGGCAAAACAAAGAATTATTCACTGCTCCCCCAGGGCAGGAAGGTGTTCAGTCATCTCCAGGAGAGCAGGGCTCCATCAGACTGAACAGTTACCTGGGAAGACCAACACAGGAGCTCTGAATATACCCCCTTGCTGCTTCTTCCTGCCAGTGTTACGTGTTGAGTGTGATGCCAGGCTGTGGGATATCCCATTGGTCAGTCGGGACCAGCTGTCCCTGCTGTGTCTCCTCCCAGCCTCCTCACTGGCAGGGTGGTCCAAGAACCAGAAAAGGCCTTGGCTCTTGCAAGCACTGCTCACCAACAACTACAACATCCCTATATTAATATCACTGTTTCCAGCACAATTTCAAGACACAGCCCCGTGTGAGCTCCTGTGAAGAAAACTGTCTCTACTCCAGAGAAAGCAGAATAGAAGTTTACCAGATTGATTTATTTATAAAGTATTTCTAACATTGCCAAATATTACTCCCTGGTCTGAATGACATTCATGTTTGAATGTGTTCTGCTCTTAGTTACATGTAAGGTGAAGAGTTTAAAAGGGTGATCTACATAGTGTTCCTTCATGTGTTTCATTTACATTCAGTTCAGTTTCCTGTGTTCTCTCTCTGGCCCTAAAACGATTCCTGTGAGCTGTGTCCAGACAGTCAGAGATGTTTCAGATGGAAACTCAGCTGGCTCACACATCCCAATGGACATTGTGATGAGGAAGAAATTAAAAGCTTGTCAGATGCAGGTGGTTCAAAGAAAAACTTGCATGAAAAAATTATATGTATTGAATTTTTGTTGGTGGATTCAGATTAACATTCTAAAAGTTTGATTGCTTCTTCATGGACTTCAGCCTCTCATTGACAATTGAGAGGCTGGGATGTGAAGTAGTCTTTTTAGTGTTCCATTGGGTAAGTGGGACAGGGACAAGATCACAATACACACAAGTTGTATAGGAACCTCTTGCACATCAGTTATTTGAAAAGTCTTTATCTCAAAAGAGTATTTCTTAACTAAAATGCATGTTTGTCAGTCTTTGAGAGGGAGTGAAAATGTAAAATTGTTTTATATGAGAAACACTATATTCTGAGATTTTTCTTAATTTTGCTTAGTTTTGGATGCTATTATTGTGTGTATGGACTTGCTTCAGAAGCAGACAATGTGAGTATGTAACCTGAGGGCTTATACAAAAGTCTGATTTTGCACTGATGTTTTCTTGTCAGTCTTGTATTTACTGTATGTAAAGTAGGAAGTGCTTTATGAGGGCTTATACAAAAGTCTGATTTTGCACTGATGTTTTCTTGTCAGTCTTGTATGTAAAGTGGGAAGTGCTTTATGAAAAAAACCCAAGCAAACATTAAAGATAAACAGGACACTACAGCCAAAGAATCCTGATGAGACATTTGACTTGCCCAGACAACTGGAGAGCTTTCTGAGGCAACTGGAATCTCTGTAGTGAAGCCATGAGAGTGTTAGTGCCATTATAGAAGGCAAAAAGCCTTCCCTTGCTGTCACATGCTTTGTGTTCTGCTTTCAAAAACTGTTAATCTGGATGCTAAAATGCTTAGGAAAGGGCTACTGAATTTAAACATGATGGCACATTTTAGAAAGAAAAAAGAAAACAGAACTAGAAAGGTGAATTTGTTAAGCCTAGAAATTTAAAGGCTGTTGGAGATGAAGTAGCTGTTGGTAAATCTGCAGGCTGTGGGAAATAAAGGTGCAATAGGAATAAACACTCTTTAAGCTGAGAAAAAATGTTGACATCAGTGTTACAAAGTTATCAGTGAATGTAGTTAGGCTGGCAAGGTGTTTCTAACACTCAACTAGTGGTGCAGGAAAAGGAAGGTAATTGCATTTCCTTTCAAACCAGAGTTTGATCATGTTTCTAAAAAGGTTATATGATCTAACTGTGAGTGCAGAAGACTGGACTTGGTGATGCAATTTATATTTTTATGAATAAAGTCTAATCAATGTGGAAAGCTGTATCCCTTTATTGGTTAAAACTGTGTTGTGAATGAAAATTACTGTATTTATGGCATGATAGTCCTGAATAGTTGTGGAACACTGGATTTTGTTGTAGCCTGTATACACCAATACACCAACCCCTTTGATATGGAGTTTTCCTTCCTTTGAGAAAATACTAGAGGGTAAAATCTCAAGAAAATCCCTCTTATGTTTGATTATCCAGATCAAAACTGTGCCAGTTCAACTGAATTTTATTCTGTCATTGGCTAGTCTTCCTGATCTGTATTGTTACTACTTCTTAGTATATTAAGTAGTCTTGAAAGTCCATCTTCTCCAATGAATCTACTGAATTAGATTACTAAAATGGAACCCCCACCAGCAACAGTAATTTAAAATGCATTTTCACAAGAACAGACTTACAGTTGCAAAGGAAATAACCAGTGTAATCCATAAACAGCCTAACATATTTTATTAGCATTTTATCCACGTTGATGAAAATTGGCAGACTTCCATTCATTTAGGTGTAGTTAGTGATTTATACACTCACAGGGCTAGAATCCTCAATTTTAGGGTAGGAGGGAGAAAGGGGAATCATAAAGATAAACACTTAGGATGAATAGTATAACCTATGATATAACAACTTCTACCAAATAGGTTTATTTGCTTTATTTCATTTTACAAGTATATTTCTTTGGTAAATGTAATTACAAATATATTACTTTTGTTATTATTTTGTAAGGAAATAATTTTAAAATAACCTTATAGTATTTTTAATATGTATAAATGTTTTTCTCTATTTTAAGAGGAAAGAAATGTGAGAAGAGACACATTGAACTGTTTACAGACCTTAATAGTCCTGTCAGTGAGGATCAGCTGGGAATTATCATTGCTAACTTGAAGAAAACAGGAACTTCTCTTCAGTTTTTGTAAGTATGAAAATGGCTGTTATGTATTGTGCCATCTTTTAAAGGAAAATTATTCTTTCTTAATAATTATCTTGAAATAGCTGGTGATCTGCTGGAGTATGGTCTCTTCAGAGGTGTACAAAGTAATATGATTATTGTAAGTATTTCTGTCAGTTATATGTACTTTGAGTTCCACTGATGAGCCAAGTTCCCTTGGTTAAATAATGTGCAAATAAATTAAGATGATGGCTTCTTCTCCACTTGAGCTTATAGCTTAGAGCCAAAGTGTAAAATGGGAGACAAAAGAAAAATATAAGCAGAGAATTAGGAAGCAATAAGCTAAAAATAGCCTCAGAAACAGTGATTTTGTCAGCCTAGATCATTTTAGGTAAGGACATCACTGGGAAGAAATAATGATGTAGTGTTGCAGATGTTAATAGCTTGATTCTGGTGTCAGTAGAGGAGCAGGTTTAAAGAGGACGGTTGTATTCACAGTGATGGGCTTGGAAGAGTGAAGCAATGTCTTCAGTGTTCAAACAGGAATCCCTTGATTGTCATGCTGTAGATATAAGCACTGATCCAATGGAAGCTGTTGGCCTTCTAGAGGAGTTTATTTAAAAGCCATTTATTTAAAAATGTTGTGGCTGATTATAATAAATACTTTCACAGGAGAAAGTTAAAGCTCTGGTTTTACTTCTGACCATGTGCTTTTACCTAGATGCAGCATTCTGTAATGTAACAATGTTGTGAACTTAATAATGAATTCATTTGAGCCATTAGCCAACCCATCTGGAAGATAAAAGAGGGGTTAGGAAGGAAAATGTCACTGAAAATCATGGTCTGATCCTTCACAAAACATCTTTGCTTTTGCTTAGGGGAGGCTGGATGCAGAACTATCGGGTTCTGTCTACACAGGAAAAACAGTTACCCTTCCAATGTGACGTGCCCCTCCTGGCTTATCTGAGCTGTTGCTGGCACTGGAGGCAGTAGAGGTGCATCACCATGAATCTGAGTACCTCTGCCAGTCAGAGTACATCTTTTGGAGCCCTGCTATTCAGCCGCTGCTCCCTTGTCTGTGAAGCAGAAAAGAAATGTTGCTGTTTCAGCATTGGTTTCAGGTTTGCATCCTGTCTCCCAGCCACAGGAGCAAAAGATTATTTGATTTTTACTTGCACAAATGTAAAACACTTGTTTAAAAAAATTTCTTGCTAAACCTTTTGTTATAACTTATGCTTCTATCTCTTATGCCCTGATCATAGACTAGGTTGTAACTTGCAGCAGAGAGTTGGTTTTCCTCCCTGTTTCCAGGTGCCAAGCACATGCTGAGCACTGTGTAGTGCTGGGTATTACGTACTTCTCATCACAGTAGTCTCTGGGTATTGTATAGTGAATGTAGCCTAACTTTACCTATCAGAGGTTTGAAGCTTTTTGGTGTTGCCATATCAGCTTAAAAATACAATTTCTATATTTTGTCAGTGGAATCTGCTTCCTAAAAAGGTATCACTTTGTTGAAGCTTGATCTTTAATTTTACTGTATGTGACACTGTTGTGCATAATGTAAACTCTGCTTATTGTCTGTTGCTTCATGGATAAGTTTAGTGAGGACTAATGAGGTGGAAGTATGGTAGAGACATGTAGGCTGCTTTTTAGGAAACATAATACAATGCTAAAATTATTTCACTTTGTAGACATGTGGTAAAAGGTATCATGTGGTTCATTCAGAACTGGATCAGATGAAAAATCTGCAGGTGTTTTCTGAGGCACAGAGGTGAGGATCTTGCACATCTTTCTCTACTGTGTTATACTTAGTTAACACTCTTGTATTTTGAAGAGCAGCAAAATCATTTTATCTATAACCCCTGGCTAGATTTTAAAATCTGAATCATGAAGTGCAGAAAAAATGTGTTATCTTCAGTCAGACATTCACCCAGCATTGTAAGCTATTAGAATCTCAAAGAATAACATTTGTTCCAGAAATACCTAATAGCTCCATGCAGAGAATGTCCTGCTTGCTGGCATTTGGAGCTGATACAGAGTCACAGGCCTGGAACAGCCTTTAACAAGTCATCTGGAGCAATCCTCTGCTTCAGACTGGGTCAGGTGATGTCTGTCATTGCTGAGCAGTGTTTGTCTAACCTTCTGATAAAGATTTGCAGTGATGGAGACTCTTCTCTCTCCTCAGGCAGTTGGTTTTTGAGATTATAGTTTGAAATGCCTTTATCAGGTTTTTGACTATCTGACCTGACTCCATGATGTGGTTGGAGTGCAGGTAGAATACAAAGAACTGATTGTTTCCTACTTCTCTGCAACAGCTTTTTTTGTTTAAGGCTGCCTTGCCCTCTAATTCCCTTCTCTACGAGCTTTATTTTGTTCAATCTTTTAATGGATCTTGCTTTTTAATCAGCATTGACTTTACTGTCTAATCTATTCCTGTATGTGGATGTCTTTATTGATGCACAATACCCAGAACTGGTGCATTGCTCTGGTCAAGATGTTACCAGGGCCAAGTAGACTTGAAATACTGCTTAATTTGTTTTGCAAGTCCTTTGGCTCTTTATACATCTGTCTGCAGCTAGATAGAAATCGTTGATCCTGAGAACATTTTTGTTTTGTTTTGCTTGGTTCTTTTAATAAGGAAGAAAGTCAAACTAACTGCTTCGTCTTTTGTTCTTAGTCTGCCATTCCCAGTGAGTGTTGATGATGGAAGTGGAGATACAAGTGCCAGTGTACATGCTCATATGCACAGAAACTCTTCTCCAATAAAGGGTTTAACTGAACAACAAAAGCAAGGTGTTGACGTGGTGAGGAAGCTCATGTATACTTTGGATGAAGAAGGAGGGCTGGAAGAAATTTATACTTTCAGGTAAATTTGGCTAGTCCTGGTTATTGTACTATAGATGCACTCACTGATTTCTTCTGCAAAAGATGAAGTTAAGTAATCAGGAATCAGAAGTCAGTGAATTTTATGACTTACTGTACCCTCAATCCCCTTCATACAGCTTCTTCAGTGGCTTTAGAATAAGTAAAAGAGTGTAGAGATTTGAGGGGAAAGTTAATTATCTGTATTTAAATAAAAAAACAGTTTTCTTCCATCTTTAGGGTTGGAGGATTTTGGAGGGAACATTTCTGTAAATGTAATTTCAAAAACGTTTTACAAAGAGATGTAATTTGTGACATAGTTCAGCTTGAATATCTGCATTTAATGGTAGCCTTTGCTCCTTGGTTGCTGACTACTTTTAGCTCTCTAGTTTGATAAACTCCCACGAATTCTTTGAGTAAATGTTGTTTGTTGAATCCTTCTCCTTAATCACAGTCTACAGTGCCACTGTGACAAACAATATATTTTTTTATTTTTTATTTTTCTTGCATTAGGAATGCAAGAATTTAAAGATGATTTTTCACTTCTTGTTTTCCCTATGAAAGAATAAAAGTTTGTGTATCTCTTGAAAACTGTACCTAATGATATGTCCAAGACTTTTCTACATAGGTGTTGTCTTAGTTGGGAAACAGGCAAAATGCACCTGCGTGCCTTATCATAGACTGAAGTTACTGTCTCAGTAGTTCTGTTCTACAATTACAAAAAGTGATCTTTTAGACAATATGATTTTCAGGAAGCTTAGCAGACTACAGCTGTAATGTCATTATCAAAGGTAATTTTTAGATGAGGGTTGTCCCTGTAGGTTTGTATGCTGTAATTCATCAGTTTATTTGTGGGATTTCCTTCCTTCCATCCCCCCAGCTCAGCTGGTCAGCTTTGCACCTCAGCAGCCAGAGGAGCTGCTCCTTGAGCATTACTGTGCATTAGTGAAAAGAGATGTGTCACTGTGTCTGTGTTCTGTACTAGTCAACAGAGCAGTCTGAGTCTCTAGAAAAAAGCAGGCTTTGTCCCTGCTTCAAAGACTGCACAGAAAAGCAGAATCTTTCCTGGCCCATTTATCCTTTAGGATAATCCATATGCATGAACCTACCATGCGGCTTGGCCTCTTTATACTTTTTTTATCACAGACTCTTGCTACTTTACAAGCTGTCTTTGTGCCATACTTTCAGGGGAAATCCAAAATCTCAGGATAAATAGGCATTTGGCTAGTAGATTAAAGCTTTAGTTGGAAAAGTTGTTTAAGAGTATGTGAGGTTTGAGATGCAATTAAGTTGCTTATCAAGCTTTAAGAAGTCAGCTTTGCAAATCTGTCATGATAATTGGCCAACGCAGATACACTCTCCATTTTCCTAGATTAATTATTCCTGCTGGTAAAAATATTTCAACTCTTGTAAAAATAAATTAGCCATGCCAGGAGTGACTGAGGAGGTTTTGTTGTGATTTTCTTTTTTGTTATGATACTTGGCCTATTAGACAGGAGGTACTTCTGCTGCCTCTGGGTTTTGGAGGAAGGGGTTGCAGAGCAGAGGAGAAAGGTTGTGTTCATAAAATACAAGCTGAAATGTACGTTTGCAAGGTTTAATTGACTGGGTCATCTTTAATTACAGGCAGCATTTTTCTTCTGTAAATATAAAGGACCGAGATAATAAATTGAGCTTAAATTACATTTTTTGGCATTTGGCACTTGTATTTGATTTTTGTACTCCTCCCTGAATGTATGTGTTGCAGTACTCCTAATGAGGTAGTACCATGTTCTTTTTTAGAATACTGTATTGATGTCTTTATTGCTAGCAAAAAAAAATCTTCCTTTCCCTAAGGAAAAAAACCCACAACAAAACTAAAAGAGAAATCCACTGTTTATCTCATATTAAAATCCCAGTGGTTTTTTGCCTTTCATTGTGCTTTTAGAATTTAAAAACAACCCAACCCTGTTTGTACTAGGAAACCTGAAAAGTAGAATGCCAAGTGGAATTCTCTACTGATCATTTTAGGAATTGATCTTGATTTCTGCCAGACAAGTTCTTTAATCAAGAGAATGGTGAATTCCAGGTTTTATCATAATGCAAAAAAGAGTAGTTCAACTTTGTTTTCTTTGCTTTATCATGCAATAAAAGAAAAAAAAATGAGCTTTCTCTGTGTTGCAATTTTACAGCCAAATTGCCAATACAGTTTATATTAGCTGAAAGCTGTTTTGGGGGGCAAGACTATTTGAATTCACAATTACATATTATAAATTACTGTGAGTTGTTAATTTTGGACTCCATTGCTAAAAGTTGTGCAATTAAGTTAACACTTTTCAGTATAAATTCATTACAGTTCCTTTTTTTTTGAACTTGTATATGTGATATATGTGCTGTTTAGGCTAGAAATAGTTGAAGTAACTTCTTTCACTATGACAGAATGCCCTTAAATTAATGAGTTCACTAGTACTGTATAAAAAAAGTGTCAAAAGTTAATTTCTACATAAACAAAATCCCGTTAATTGAAACTGGATTCTTTATTTCTTCAGCTTCACTATAGAAAGCATTTTACCACTTAGAGAGCTTTTTCTAATTTATGTTGTTCAGTTTGCTACATGCCCTAATTGGATGAACACAGAAAAATGGAAAATGCTTAAGAAGCAATTGTGTGGCTTTATCACTAGACCTAACACAGTGCCTTTAAGTCACACCATCATAAAGGCTCAAGATAGGGATAATCTTCTGTACCACCTCTTTTTGTCATTCTCTTTTCTGACAGTGGGTAATGGTAAGATTATTGATACAGTTTATTTGCTTTATGTGATCTTAGCTGGAACAGTTTGGACTCCTGCATTTCCTTAAGGAGAGTGTATTGTCTATAATACTTTATTACAGTTCACCAGAGTTCATTGCTGTTTTCCTGATTCCTTCATTTAGAGAGAGCCTGGAACGTCTTTCAATGTTTAAGAAAATGGAAAGGAAGCCTATGCCTTGGCCCTGCCAGCTCACTATTGGTCCTAATTTGTCTATAAGGATTGTGGCCTACAAATCAGTAAGTGTGTAAGGTCATATGTTCTCGTGTAATTTGGCAGCAAGTTAGGTGCAACTACATGTTATTTTTTCCCTTAAAGCTAAGAAAATAAAGATAAAACGACATTGAGATAATTATAATAGAGATTTTTGTTTGGTTAGAAGCCAGTACATCTAAAATTCTGGTTCCCACAGCAACTTTAACTTCACCATACATGTTAAATAACTAACATTCTTAAGGTACAGAAATAGGAGTAATTGCTGTCTGTGCTGGCACTTGGTGGTATTGAAGTTGATGACACTGATTAAGAATGCTGTGATTGAAGATTTACATTCAGCATCAGTGATATGTGAGACTTATATATATTTTTAAGCCCTAGGCATGAGAAGAATTTTGGACATGTGTGTGTAAAATGGTGGGTGTAAATGTTTTACCAGCCATTGTTTCAAATCACATCTGTTGTTATTTCAGACTTGGAATAAAAGGTCTGATTTTCAGCTTGTTTGTACTGTTTGACAAAGCTTGGACCCAGTCTGTTTCTTACAATTTATATAGTTCCTTTAATCAGTGCTAGGAACAAGTAAGTGTGTTTAAAGGCAGAAAAAGTGCAAATTTCTAGTTATAAAATAGTTAATGGGTAACTGTGTAGTGTGGCAGTGTTGATGGATCTGGTGAGATGGAGTTTAATTGGTTTGTTATTTCAACATGAGACTGAGCCTGGTATGATGAAGATGAAATATATCTGAAGTCTGAGAGCTGGGTATACTAGCCTTGAAAGACATCCACTTTCTATTTATAGTTATTAATAATTTTGTTATTAGGCTATTGTGCAAATAGCCAGAAAGAAAATGTCCCTTCCCAAAGATGTTTACACACAAAATAAACTAAGTTTGGGAGAATAAGCGACATGAACTGAGTGACTGGCCTGAGGTCATACAGCAGTCATACTGACAAACTATTCTGTCTTTACTGTTTTCTGCTCAGCTCTACATTTTTCTTCTCATGTATTAGCTATACCATCAATTTCACTTAAGCAGAGAGAAAAGAAAGCAGTTTCATTTCTCTGTAGTTGGGAAATACTCACTCAATGTAAATACTTATTCCTTCTTTCCCTTCCAAGTCCCATAATGCATCTGGGATCTTTTTGCCTTTTGGGGAAGTTGCAGTGATATAAAGTATTTTTATCCTGCAGTGTAGTAAGCCTGATGGAAAACTTGGCCAAGCAAACTGAGTGAACGTTGAGTCTTACTGTATCTTTAACATATTCCTTAATGCTTTGTCAAAAGTATTTATACAGTTGGAGGTAGTAAATTGCATAGCAAGCAAGTTACATGGTATCCTGTGATTCAAAGACTTCCACAAATGGCTTAACCTACAGGTTTAATGAATAAGAAGTACAGGTATGCTGTCAATATGCTACATTCCATGTGTTAGGTCTCATACAGATGAAGCAGTGCTGAAAGCACTGTGGTGGCAGCCAAAGATGCATTATTTGGTGGTCTTTATTAGTTCCTTATTGGCAAAAAAATGCTGCACTCAGGCTAAGGATTTTTTGTGTGTTCTGGTAAGTACTCTGGATCCCACTGAAATGTTAAACATTCCTTTTCTTTGAATTCTGATACCAAGGTCACAGAAGAGAGGGTGAAAAAACTTTGGGCAATTGTGGATGCTAAAACCCTCAGAAAAGAGGATGTGCAAAAAGAAACTGTTTACTGCTTGAATGATGATGATGAGACAGAGGTTCAGAAAGATGATACTATTCAAGGTACGACATCTTTATGTGCACCCTGATGACAAAGGGAAGATAATGGCTTGGTCTCTTAGGTCACATAAGGGCCCCTTAGTTTTATACCTTGAAGCCTGGCTGTGGTCTTAGAATGTGAGCCCTGTGGATTTTTTGTGTGTTCTGGTAAGTACTCTGGATCCCACTGAAATGTTAAACATTCCTTTTCTTTGAATTCTGATACCAAGGTCACAGAAGAGAGGGTGAAAAAACTTTGGGCAATTGTGGATGCTAAAACCCTCAGAAAAGAGGATGTGCAAAAAGAAACTGTTTACTGCTTGAATGATGATGATGAGACAGAGGTTCAGAAAGATGATACTATTCAAGGTACGACATCTTTATGTGCACCCTGATGACAAAGGGAAGATAATGGCTTGGTCTCTTAGGTCACATAAGGGCCCCTTAGTTTTATACCTTGAAGCCTGACTGTGGTCTTAGAATGTGAGCCCTGTAGGCTGGTGGAACACGGAGACTGTTACATGAGACTCTTTGTTTTCACATATTTTGAAAAATCTTACTTCGCCAGTAGTAGCAATAATAATAATAGGAATGATAATGACAATGAGAATGATAATAATAATAGAACTAACAACAACAATAAGCAGAACAGATGGAGCTTAGAAGGCACTACAGCTCTCTGAACTGCACGCTGTGGAAGGCCATACCTCAGTTCTGTAGTGAGTAGTTCTGCTACCACTATTCCATTTTTAGATCTTCAGTTGTACTGATAACGTCAATGCTTTTAGTGCTGCTTTCTTGTAGATGAGCAACTGCTCTAGTTATTCTGCACTTGGAAAGATGAAGCCATCAAAGGAGGGTTTAGTGTTCAGGAGTACTAGCTTTGCTGTACTATAACAGGATCAATCTGAAGTAGTGGTACGCAACATACTTTTTATGACCTGCAGCTTCTTTCTGAGGAGATTAATTTCCTTAGAAGACTACAGGCCCCAGAAACAGCAGGAAATAGCCTACTTATTTTTAAAAATTGAGTTAAGCAAATCTGTTTCATTTTTTTTGTGATTGTATAGATATATTTTGTTACTAGTTTTTTTCCTTTCCTTTGCTGTTTCAATCCCGCACAAGTAGGGCAAGTGTATTAACTGTAAAGAGCAGAACTATTCAGATAACAGTATAAAGAGTGCTGTAAGATGAATAACAGAAATTGAAAATTAGAATAAGCTGTATTTTTTAATTTAATCTATTTCAATTTTAGCATTCATAGGTGTTTCATAGCAGTATCAGATCAAGTTCCAATGACAATGTAACCTTCTTTAAGAAAAAAAGTGGTTAAAAGATGGTCTAGTTATGTTTTACAACTTCAAAACTGTGTAAAAAAATTCACTTCTTACAGAGAATGCATTTTGAAGGATTTGCGACTATTGTCAGCTAATCTTCTGACTGCTTAAGTTAGTAAGTAGTTTTGGGATACTAGTAAAAAGAAGTGGTGAGCAGTTCAATGTGAACAAAAGAGATAAAAGATTTCCCTGACAATGCTGTGGTATTTCTAATGCTAAAAGAGCTACTGATGCCTCCTGGACTTTTGCGAATCTTTTGAGAAATGTCATAATTAGACAATATTTTGTATTTGCAGCACCCGCACTGAAATTTCTTTCATTCTGTGTGTTTGCTTTTCAGTTTGTAGAAAAATATATCTGCTTATAGGTTTTTCATATACAGGAATTTATCTCTGTTACCTTCTGCTTTCTTCACACCTGAGCATATCATCCTTAGTCTGTGGCAACATAATAAAGTGATGACATTACAGGGAAGATATTGGAAGCTGAGATAAGAGAATAAGCAGTTGGAGCAGATAATACCTCTAAGAAGTTACAGCTCCCTATTTTGTGGATATATACTGTAATGTATGGGATTGGAAGTAAAATACAGAAATATATAAAAAGACCAGTTATGCCTACAAGAGTGTTTTGGTTTTCCATTGTAAACCTTGCTTCTACTGTTAGTACATTTTATTTTCTGAATCTCTTCTGGTGTCATTTCGAGTGGTATGATTTGTGGTATGTTTGAGGTTGCCTGTATTATGTTTGCAGAGAGTGTTGCAATCTGTTTGCTGAAATCTATTCTGATTTGCTTAAATCTATTCTGTGAGCGTAACTTTGTTAGGCAAGATGTTCCCTTATTTTCTTTCCTGCTCTCTGAGAGTACTTGTGTTACATAAAATGATGTACAAGGAGGGCAACTGCTGTTCATGAAGTACAAAATGTGTCTATGGGTGCTTGGGTTTTTTTTGCTAACAGGGAAAGTAATTTGATGAGCATGTGTGGAATGTAGCTGTGGGGCATGAATGCATTGTTAAAATATTCAGAGAGCTAATTTCAGTGTTAAAATTGTAGGCCCATATGCTTACCAGATGCTCTTCTCTTGTTCTCCAGGTTTTCGGTATGGGAGTGATATAGTTCCTTTTTCCAAGGAAGATGAAGAGCAAATGAAATACAAAACAGAAGGAAAGTGTTTTTCTGTTTTGGGATTCACTAGATCCTCTCAGGTGCGATACTAAATATCTTCCTAGTCAGCTTCCTGGGTTATTCAAGACAACTGATCTTGGTTTGAATTCAGTAAAGTCCTGGTGTTGTATTGGGTTTCAGTATTTGCAATGGGACATCCCTACTCAGGTATGCAGGGGTGACTTACTTGCTGATTCTAGGACATGTAAGCAATATATGGTCTTTTGAAGGAGAGAAGCTCATAAATGTGCCCACTGGTCCCTCAAGTGAAGCCAGAGCCAGTGAACTCAGATCTCTGCTAAGAGGAGACAGAGGTATTGTAGTCTCATTTCATCTCACAGACTTTAATAGTCTGTCTTCTGTTTAGCTCAGACAGCAGCCTTTCTGGGCTTTGTCCAGCCAAAAGTATGGCTGCTTCTTAAAAGAAGCTTCTCCCTCAACATTAAAGTGATGTTAAAGCAAACCTGAACTGACTCCATTCATTCTCAATTCCATAAGGATTAGTTTGTGAACCATGATTGGTCTCTTCTTTCTATTGTGACAAAACTTAAATGTAGGGAAGATTTCTTGGACAAAGGCAGTATAATTAAAAAACACTCTGTATTTCCATGAGATGCCCAGTGTTTGTAATGCACTTATCTCTTGTAGTATTTGATTTGGTGTTTTTTGTCCCTGACAGTTGTAAGAAACTTAGTTTGAGCAAGTACTTTAATAAAAAGTTACCCAGCACAAGGCAATTTCCTTCAGAAAATCTAGGACTTAAGCATTAGTAAGGCCTTAGGCACAGGCTTAACAAAACTGTTCTTGAAGAAGGACGCATGAGGAGAGAGTACAGAGATGTGAGTGCCAAATAATTGCTCTGAACGTTAAGCTGCTCCCCATCTTTTTTCTCTGAAAATGTTTCTGACTGAAACTTTACTCATCTTGGAGTTACCCACACCCATTCCTCTTCACCAGTCAAAACTGAAATGAAATCATAGGGCAGTTCTACACGTTCACTTCTGACAGCTCCCAGCCCTCCTGCTATTAGAAATATCTCACTGTCTGAACAAAGAACTCTTGATAAAGGCTAAGACATCATCACCTTTAGAATGAAGGAAATATGCTACTGAAATAGGAAGCATCTGTGGGAGCTTACTCCCAAATGGATGTAACTAAACATCTTCTTACTTTACAATACAGGTGTCACAGAGACCTTGTGCACATTGTTAGATGTGTCATTAGACTACCACAGTGCAGTGTTCCAAAACATAAGCTCTGAGGAGCAAGGAAGTTATGTCATTTACTGAAAGGAGAAGCCAGCCCAACTGGAAACTGTAACCTGGTTGCTCCCTGAGGACTTTCAGACTTGTTGTTGAGTGATATGGGAGCTTGTGCACTGCAAGTGATTGATCAAGGAAATATCTTGTGCTTGAGCTTATGTGCCCTAAATTGGCCAGGGCCAGAGAGGTGTTAGGGAGTGCTACCTCCTGTGCCAGAAATGATCTAATAAGTGAAATGTGTCTGAATCCTGTGTTCCAATGAACAATTTCTTGGATCTCCCCATACATTATTAGCTTCCAGCTGAGTCTTACTATTGTCATTTAGTTCTGCAAGATGTATTTCACTGTGTGCAGAGTTTTCTTATGCTGGAGGTTAGCTTCCTATTTCAACTTAGTTTCCATTTTCAAATAAAGTCAGTCTAAGAGGAAAGCAGATGAGGAATATAGTGTTCCTGTGAGCAAACTGTTATTTCAGATGAATTTTTATTTTCCTGTCATTGGTCAGATAGTGTGGTAATACTTCAAATACATAGTTAATAATTGTAGGGTTACAGTTAATTTTAGGAATATTTTTTGAATCACAAAAATATGCATTAAATAATTAACAAGTTGTTTTTAAAATTTTTCAATGTACCAAATATTGATTGCTTTTAATTAGTTTTTATTATGTACTTCTCTTGTCTCTGGATTTCATAACAAACAGAAATTATATCTTAAAGTGTGCTCTGGTCCTGTAGCTGGGAGTGTGAGTAGTTATGCCCAGTAGTAGCTGCACATCCCCTCAGTGGAATAAAATTATTGAGGCGTGCTTGCAGGATTAAAATTACAGTGACTAGATAATGATATCAGGAATTTTTAACAACAGCTGGAATTTTCAAGACCTGTGTGTTATTTTAGTTTTTGCCTCGTAATTTTATTGTTTGGAATGATAAAACTGACACTATTTAAATGTTTTATATTAAATTATTTCTTTAAAAAACTTTGATGGAAAGATGATTCATTATTGACTAAAAAATCTGGAACAGCTCCAAATACATAATTAAATAAGGAATAGAAGCATCTTATATTCTTTTCCTGAGTTGTTCGCATCCCTCAGGAAAGAAGATCAGAGGCCGCTTAAACTTTGATTTTTAATTTATAAGCCATGCCATGTAAATCAAGAAATAATACCTGCAAATATTACAAAGGAACAATTCCTTTTGCAAACAAAAAAATGTGTAGTGATACACACATCTAGTTATTTATATTATACTGAACATAAAATTTCCTGAGCATTTAGAGACGGAACAGGAAAGAAAGATTGCAGGTAGAATAATCTGAGCTGAAGAATTGTTCTGGAATACACTAAACAAATCTGTTCTGGTGCAGGATGTCACTGACTTCAACAGCCTTATGGTAATTTGCTAAATAAAGCAGATAAAATAAAAAGATTAAATGAATGAAAGAAAAATCAAAGATATAATGAATTTAGTTCTGAGACTGTAATTCAAAGAGTTTTTTCTTTATCAAAGAGAGGTTATTTCAATCAGTGTCCATAGTAGTGTGTGATCTTTGTGACAGGTCTGTGATTGGAAGCTTTCTGTGTGTGTGAGCTGCTGTAGCTCCAACTATTCCAGTGATGCTCCTTGATGAAACTATTTTTTCCTTTTGTTTTGGTATCAGCCATGTTCATGAATAGAATAAACTCTGCTAACAGAAATGCTTCTTTGCTGGGTTGATGTTGCAGTAGCTTTATTAATTAAGGATGCAACTTTTTGCAGCTCCTTTTTTGATGTATCTTTGCTAGGAAAATTTAATAATGTAGATATAATAACTGTTAGGTTTAGGTCTTGTATTAACTACTGTAGTTTTCCACAATGACTTTTGAATTACTGAAGTATAATTCAGACTGGTAACAGCTGGCAGTAGCACTGTCTTTTGTTCCTGCCCATCATTAGGAAGCTATGAGAATATCCTACCCAATATGACTGCATATTCATTAGGTGATAAATGGAGATATAAGACAAATACAGGGCTTTAACCTCTATGCACTGTAATTAAATTTGGTGACTTCTGACTTGAGTAATGCTAGTTGTTTTGTAATTTAATTGGTCTAGTTGTATTAGTGACCTTTTCTTTAGGTCAGGCTAACTCTTGACCATTTGAATCTGCAGATCCAGAGGCATTACTACATGGGCAACCAAGCTCTGAAGGTCTTTGCAGCAAAAGGTGATGAGGTAAGGTAAACTGCAGTTTAATGCTGAACATATTTTGCTGCAGAACAAAAAAAAGAATAGTAGTGATGCTTGAGTTTGTCCTGTCTTTCTGTGTTAATAAATATTTCTAATGCAGCTTACAGAAATGTCTTATTTCCCAGTAGGTTAAAAAGAGGTTGCGTTAAAACCCAAATGAATACAGTATCTCATGAATAATGAAAAACGGGTAGATACTGTGTTTGAGCAAGGTTATGAGGAACCCGAAATTGGTGCTGAAATTGATTCTCATGCAGAGCAGCAGTGTGCCCTGTCACTGTGTTATTTAGAACAGACCTTCAAAGCACTGGAGGTAAAAAGCTCACTGTGGAGCTCTAATGTGTTCCTTTAAGGGGCTTTGCTCCCTTTCACTATCTCATGCAAAATCTCTGAGAGTTCTTCACACCTGGTGAAAAAGGTGGAATGTGCTGAATCTAAAGTTGGCTCAGCTTTGAGTGGATCCACCATCATGATGAGATTTGACCTTTCTGCTTCTTTGATTTATGAACATGAAAAAATGCTTGTGTTAAAGTTATAGCTGAAATGGAGACTAGTCTTGACTAAATCAATGCTGTTGAATTCCCTGTGAAAGATGTATTTCATGATTAAGAACTTGCATGATTTTTTAGACTTCTTTTTTCCCTCCAGAATGCAGCAGTTGCTTTTTCTGCACTTGTTCGTGCCCTGGATGAGTTGAAAGTGGTGGCTGTAGTGCGCTATGCTTATGATAGAAGATGCTATCCACAAATTGGAGTAGCTTTTCCGTGTATTAAGGATGCATATGAGGTAATTCTTCTCTCCTACCCTTCTGCAGAGAGACCCAGAAGCAACACAGTATGTCAGAACTTTAGCAGCGTATGTTTCCTCTGATCTTTCTTACGAGAGACTATTGAAAGAGCTAAATATGTATAGCATGGCTGAGCAGTGACGGAGGTGGGGGCGGACACAACAATCTTCAGACTTTTGAAGGGAATAAACACAAAAGATGGAGAGGAATTATTTAGGGTGGTATGAACTGGAGGAGGTAATGGAATAAAAAAAATGAGGCAGAGAAATGTTAAAAAAACCAATTCCATCTTTTGACTTTGGAGTACAGTAAGCTGTGATAAAATCTCCAAAAGCGCCAATATATTGGATATTTAAAGCATGGATAATTGGAACTCTGCATGAGAAAATGGGTGGGGAGGTCTTTATTCCACGAGCAGAAAAATTGAGTGTAGCCATCACTATAGGATATAATGCTGTGTTTTGTTCTGATTTAAATTGTGTTGCTCTGTACATCTCTTAAGTGTGTTGATGTGCACAAACATTACATCTTCATATTTTTCTTAGGTTTCATATTGCTCTGATATGGCACTCTGGGAATACAGATTTTTTTTTTCTTCAGGCTCAGTTGTTTTTTCTTTCCTCTTGCACAGTGTCTCATCTATGTGCAGCTACCCTATATGGAAGACCTAAGACAATATGTATTTTCATCCTTGAAAAACAGTAAAAAATGCCTTCCTACAGGTAAGACATTTGCTGGTCAAGTAACCTGCTTGTTGTCTTCTAAGATGCTCTAAAATAGTTAGAATATTTGGCTCACCAATGAAAGCATAAGTCCTGTTGTTATCTTGGCTTAGGAAAACACCCAGGTATTTGGGCATCCATTATGGTGATGTCATCTTGAAGTGTAAATGTGTATTAAAGCTTTGGCACTTCAGGTGCAGGCTGAGCAGAACTAAGTTTGCAGGCAGTGTTTCAGCTGTCTGTTAAATGACTTCTGGCTCAGGTTACAGCACTGAGAGTCTCACAGGATCCTGTGATGGAGAGCTACGATTAGACCTCTGCATCCTTTGATCTTTGAACTCATTTGTGGGCGTAAATGGCCAAACCTTGTGGGATCTACAGTGTGTGATTAGCTAGCTAGAATTAGAACAGAGGCAGCTGCTCTGTTGGTGCAAAGCTGGTCCTGTAGCCATTTGCAGTATGGCCTGTTAATATAATGTACAAAGGCAAAGACAGTATTTTCTGTGGAGTGTTATTAAAGCTTGTGCTTATTGGTGTCCAGGCTGAGATGGATGGCATCTTTGGAGAACATGCAGCTACACAAAACTTGACTTGCTGTTCTGAGAGTTTTGCACAGCAATGAGTCTTAAGTGGCTGTAGTTTAAAAATCCACTCCCGCTTCTTTCATTTGTTATGAGATGCATTGAATGGGCACCTGCACATCAGGGTATATTTAGCATGCTGGTTTGTTTCTATAGCAGTTTCTGTTTTCTTGCCTGTAACCAGCAGTTTGATAACAAATCTAAAACCTGTCTTACCAAAGCAGTAGCTGGCTATTGTGAACTGTGTTAATTTGCAATCATAACTTTAAAAATTTATATTATGCCATTTAGTTTTGCAAACCAACTGTTCTCCTTATTTTCTAAGTGGCCTATAAACCTTCTGTTGCAAATGAAAACATTTTGAAAAAGGAGAAAAGCTAAAGCAGAAAGGCAGCAATAATTGAGGTCTTGGGGGAAAAGAAGAAGGCTTTATGACTTTACACTGTAGTCCTTAAATAAAGCAGGGGTTTATTATTGTGTCCATTATCCTTATTCTTTATTGGCACATCCATAGCTGCAGTGTGTTCTGTGCCATGTAATGACTTAGTGAAAATCTTGCATTGTGAAGCCAATCTTCATTTATAAATGGTTTCAAGAAATCCATCCGTCTGCAAGTGTATTTAATCTTCCTTTGTATGTAATTGCTGCCTTAGTGGATCAGTTATCTGCTGTTGACTCACTGATTGATTCGATGAATTTGGTTCAAGAAGATGGAGAAACTTTTGAGGACCTATTTAAGCCCAGCAAAATTCCAAACCCTCATTTTCAAAGATTATATCAGGTGAGATGAACTATATGGTATTTTTTAAAAAGTTTTTTTTCTTAAGACTTTTCACCTTTCTGTCTTTCTTTGATTCACATTGGAAAGATCTACATTGTGAAAATGCAGATATAAATCTCTGGCATTAAAGTATGTGGTAACCAATGATTTCTGTGTTGTCCCTGACATAGATTTATCTCAAAAATTTCGAGTTTCCAGGAAGCAAGGGAAATTACACCTGTGCTCAGGTGTCTACAACAGCATCAGTGATATTCACAGGCACATATACTAGGCAAGTTAAAACTTGCCTCTCAACACTCTATTGTGGACATAGATTCAGTCTTCCGCTTTTGGACAGAGAAAAATTGGCTGAAAATTGGGATATCTTCAGCTTCTCATTCTGTGTCCCATCACTTTTCTGTGCAGTGTTGCATCTAGCAGTGTTCCAAACCAGGTCAGTCTGAGGTGAACTGGATCACTAATAAATGGTTATTAACATTGTTGACATTTAAAATATTCTGTTGGGGTGTCTAAGCTGATGCACTTCACGAGCCAGCAGAACAGTTCACACTTCCTGCAGTTATTATATCAAGCTGTCTCCATTTTGATTTGCATTCCTTTCATATCACGAAGACTTTCATTGCAACTGTGAGGATGAGAGACTTAATTATACATTGGAATTCAAGTGTTTAAAAAACGACGCAGCAAATTCAAAAATAAAGAAAATTATGTTGCAATTTAAGCAACTGCAGAATTGTACTGTATACAGATCCATGGAGATACATTGAATGTGTGGCTCTGCTCTGAAAATTGACCAAAAATGGTATTGTAGCAATCATGTTCATATCTCAGCAATTCCACATGATTTATTTCGGTTTACAAGTAGGAAGAAGATGTTTTTTTAAATTAAGAAAATTTACCCTAGCTTCCCAAACCTTGCTACCTCAGTGTTGCTAAAATAACCAAAGGATCTGAAGGTCAGTGTGTGTTTCAGAAACACATGTAAGCCCACTGTATTCAACCCTACTCTGATTGACACCTGAAGAACTCAGAGGTCTCATCAAGTTCTGCCAGTCATATTGACAAGACAGTGTGTAACTGAGTGCAAGATTTGATCAGTTGGAGGTTATTGCAGGGCAGGAACTTAAAATGAACTGACCTCTGCACAACTCTTATTTTAGGAAGGGCTGTTAAGCTTGGATAGTACAAAACTTGGGCATTACTTGTAAATGAATTACTTGGGGGATAGAATTTCCTCTGTTATATTGCTAGATAGAGTTTTGCATTCTTTTAGTTTAGTGCATGTCACCTACTGGTGAAAGATTATTTTTTTTTTTCAGGTGTGCTATTTGTCTTCTGAAACAGTGTGATGCTAGGGTTCCAGCACTTGAGTCAGTTGTTGCTGGAAGAGACTAACTTGCCAGTTTCCATAGAGGATAATAGGATTTTGTAAGGTTGAGTGTTACTGGTAGAAAAAGCATTTGAGTGAATGTATGGAGTAGGATACAATTTCTGTCCTTGCTGTTCAGAAAGCCCTAAACTGTCAGTCCCCTTAGTACTTTCTTTTGGCCACTGTTGCTGCAAAGATGTTCCAGGTTCTTAGTATTTTGCTCTTAGGCAAAATGGCACTGCTGGTTCCTTAAGAACTGTGAAGAAAAATTCTGCATCATCTTTTGACTGTACCCAGTAAGTGGATTAGGCTGAATAGAACCTATAAATGGTTTTGAAAAATAACTCTGAAGAAAAGGATGAACTCCTACTTCATTTCCTTGCTTTGTTGCTTCATGAAGAATGATAAGTGACAAGAGCCAGAATTTAAACAAAAACATCAAGCTAAATTATATCTCTGGAAGTAGTGGTAGGCATCAGGAAATGACAGAGTGGGTGAGAAGTAGTCGTTAATGCTTGCTGGAGTGGAAGATGAGGAATATCCTATATCCAGACTTTCAACTTTTATTCCTTGCTTCCAGAAAAAAACTAGGTGAACTTCTGTAGCTTTTGTAGTGGTAGACTTCCAATATTATTGTTTAAGTTGTCCATCTTAAATTCAGGGATTTGTAGCACCTAAGACATTCAGGGAATGCAGTGCATTTTATTTGTTAGCCAAATAAACAAATTGTTCAACAATGGTGGCTCTCTAGAGAGATGGACCTGTTGGTCTGTTGGTGCATATATGTCACTGCTTATCACAGAATTAGTGGTGTGAAGCCCAGTTCCACCAGTATCCATTGACTTATCTTGGTATGGCCCCTGTTCCTGAAAGCTGGCTGTGTCTCTAGAAGTGGAAATGTAAGAAATTAGGAAGAGCAATGAGGAGCTTGGTGACAGCATGCATGAATACAACAGTGACTGCAAGGCAGTGGCAGTGTGAGTTTCTTCTAGCTGTGAGGGTAGGAGTGACTCTTGCTGGACACAGAAGGAAGGGGGGAAGCAAGGTTAAGAGGGATGGTGTTGGTTTAGAAACTCCAGGTTGTCTGTTTAACTTAGTGTCCATTTAGCATGTGAGTTTTGACAGTATCTGCCATCTCAGTTTCAGATGTAGTCATCTACTTTAAAAACAGGTACAAGTGGATGCTGTGGCCACTCAGTCTGCTCAGCTCCTGCAGCTGCACACATTAAGATGTCAGTTACAAAAGCCTGAAACACACAGGCATAACAGGGGACTTAGGTTTTTTTGATTTGTGAATTTAATTCAATTATCTTTTCTTTTTTCTTTTTTCTTTTTTTTTTTTGTATCACAAGAGCTATTGCTGCAGCTTCCAGCAACATTTTTACTCCCTTTCAAAATAATTGTGCCTTAAATCATTACAAGTGTTTCCAAATCAGTAGCCTTGTGCAACTGCCTCCTTTGGCAATATGTTCTAATACGGACTGGAATCTTAATGGCAGCCTGAAAACATATCAGTATTGATGTGTCACATATTGTCTAGATTTTCTGTTTTGGCATATTTCCAGTACAAATAGGAGCTTTTATTTGCTTTGATTTTGTATTTTAAATTAATGTCATGTCTGACAGCCAAGAGGGGAGCAAATCTCTGCTGTATTCCTAGTTTACAGAGTAGGTACCTTCACATGGGTGTCTAATGCACTCAGTACAATGGGCATGGAAAAAAAATTGTCTCCTTTGTATATCACATGTTTTGATGTGTTTGTGTGCATGCACTGGTATCTGTGTGTGTATTTGTAAATGCACATACCTCTTTATTGCTATCTCACACTTCACAAAATTGTAGAGATACTTACTTTGTTTTCAAAACCCTCCATGGAATTTCTGTAGCCTGCCTCATTAACCTCATCTCTCCCCGTCTGCTTGACTCTGTGGCTGTGTGCACTGACTCTACACTTGGGTGAGAAATCCTTCTCTGTAGCTCTCACCATCTGTTCCAGCTTTGTGCATCTGTCAGGCCCCTTCATTGCCTTCTCCTTTCAAAGCTAGGTTCCAAACATACATATATTCTGTGCCTCACCTGTGCACATTTAATAGTCTCTCTTTCTATTTGCATTCTCTCTTAAGCTTGTGAACATTCCTCCTGTATCTATACTGAGTTTAATTGACCAAGAAGAAATATTTTCTTTGAGGGACATTAAACTGTTACAATAACTGGAATGTGTGGTTGGGATAGATCTCGTTTACTTAATTTTGAAGTGTATAGAAATCTTGCCTGTGGGACTGTTTTATAAGAGAACTGCTTTTTAAAGGTAGAGTGAAGCTAAAAATATGAACAGTTGCAGATGAGTGTTTCATTCCTGGGATTTTTCTAATAATTTTCATAGCACTCATTCCAGTGAGTGTGGGAACACTCATCTGCACCAGTATTCTTGTTTAATATCATTAATAATCTCCTTAAACAGTTGATCATAAACTTTCAGTCCATTATGAGACAGAATATTTTTCAGCAACACAAAGGTAGTATGTTTAATATGGAAGATATTTTGCAGTTACCATATGGTGTACAGGCATTACATTAAAAGTTTTTAATATAATTGAAAGTTCTACTTTGCTCAGAGTGTTTTGTTTCTTGCAGTGTTTGCAGCACAAGGCTTTTCACTCTGATAAGCCACTGCCACCAATAGAGCAGCACCTTTTAGAAATGCTGGATATGCCTTGTGTGGTAAGAGAAAGGTGTCAGGCTCCTCTGGAAAGAGTAAAAGCACTTTTTCCCCTAAAGGAAGTTGGCAAGAAAAAAGAAGAGAAGACTGCACAAGACATCTTCAAAGACAAGTACGTTAGAGATGTATTATGGATTTTTCTGAAACTTTTTTTTTTTACACTTCAGGTTGTTTTTGCTGGATGAATCAGGCTCAGAATCTTTTGAACAGAAAATCAATGAGTTACACACTGGAAAATATGCTGATGGATAAAGAATATTGTGGTGCCACAGAATGTCTGGAGTGTTTTGTGAATAGTGGTGGTCATACTGTTGCAGTGTAAGATACACTAGGAACCAGTGAGTTCCTAGTGTATCTTACACTGCAAGTGAGACAGTTCCGTCATACTGTTGCAGTGTAAGATACACTAGGAACCAGTGAGTTCCTCATGTCTGGGGAGCCTGTACCTACTCATGCAAGCTCCTCATATCTGTATTTGCTGTCACAGAATCACAAAATCCATCAGATTGGAATGGACCACTGGGGGCTTCTTGGTTAACCTGTTGCTCAAAGACCACCTGTGAGATCTCAGGAGGGATTCATACAGTCTGACCTTGAAAACCTTCAGGGTTTGTGCATCCTTTCTGGGCAACCTGTTGCATTGCTTCTTGTCTCCTGGTCAGACAGTTTGTCCTAGAGGTGGTTATGAAGGAACTCAAATAACACTAAAGGGGGTCTAATTTAGTTTAGAATAAATGCCTTGGTGCTTTAAATTAGCCATAAAGTTGAGCCTTCCTTCTCAGCATGCTTGCTTTAGGTAATTGTGTAGCTTTCATTTTGAATATCAAAAGAAAAGCAGTTTCATTATTATCTGCTGTGCAATTAATGTGGTTGTCTCCAAAAAAATCAAGCTGGTATAGACTATTCCTGGAACAGCTATTGTTTGAACAGTTTTAAGACAGGGTATTTTTGTTGTTAAAGAATATACTGTGTTTAGTTTATTTGTGATGCAGATAGGAAGAATAAATGCTAAATTGATACTGCAGTTGTACTGTCACCCCAGCCAAATCAATTTGCATAAACAAAATCTGCTTCTGAGAAATTAATTTCTTGAAATCTACAATATAACTAGTGGGTCCCTGAGATGTTGGAGTGTTCTCAGTTGGCTCCTTCTCCCTTCATTTTGTCATTTTTGGTTCAGACCTTTCAGCACTAGGAATGATGTCTTTGATGTGTTTTGAGCTCTTGCTTAGCTCAGTCCTTTACTCTTGGTTGGGTAGAGCCTCCTCAGCATCTTCTCTTTGGGAAGACATGGCACAGGACTCCTCACTTTGCTGCTTGAGGCTAATGACTGCATTCCTCTCTACAGACTGGAAAATACCTGGCTTTTTTGTTGTTGTTGCTGATTTCAGTGTGTTCCTGTTGCCTTGGTGTGTCTGTGAATTCATACTGATGAAATTCTCCTTTCCTTACTCCATGCCCCAGTTTCTCTGGGTTTTTGTACATATGTATATTTATATGTATATCTTAAAAAGTGGTAGAGCCATTTTAGAAATAAAAGACAAAAAATTGGGCTCAAACAAGCTAGAGAGAGAATTTAAACAAAAAGCAGGGACCCATTACTGTTAGTTGCTTTAAAATCTATCTTCCCAAAAGCATCTGACAAGCAAGAAGGAAATCTGTTTTGTTGAAAAACTGGTTTCCTTTAGAGGGGTGATAAAAGAAGCTATAAAAGAAATTTAGATAGAAATTGATGTTGGGCATTAAAATGATTTTTTTTAAAAAGCTGTAAAGGAAGCGAAAGGATACAGACTCAACTATGCAAAGAAGAATGAATGATAGTTGAAATTTTTTTTAAATTGCAGAAAAATGGTGTTGCTGTAATAATGAATGGGACTGGTAGTATTTTATCATTGCTACAACAGCAGTCTTAACTGTATGTTTTTGTTCTGTGTTTGGGTAAAAGCTGAGACGATATCATTTAGTCACTAGATAAAGAAAAGTGCATCACTCTGCAACAATGATGAAGGAAAATATTAAATAACAGAGGCACTTGCACAGGCTTCCCAGAGAGGTTGTGGGTGTTCCTTCCTGGCAGTGTCCAAGGCCAGGCTGGATGGGGCTTTGGGCAGCCTGGTTCAGTGGGAGGTGTCCCTGCCCATGGCAGGGGTGTAGGAAGTGGGTGATCTTTAACACAAACCACTCTGTGATTCTAAATGCTATGGTTCTATGAGATTCAACTTATTGATACTAAGATATAGTTTGCACTTCAGTGTTTGGAAAAAGTTGTTTAAAAGAGGTCTTAACCATTATTTTTGTTTTCTAAAATTGATTTGTATCTCCTGTCATCATATTGACCACATTCTTCTCTGTTACTTTTTATGGTCTAATGGGACTAAAGCAGCATAATTGTAGGCATGATATCTTAATACAGATTTCAGTATTCACTTGTATCACTTTTGCTTAAGATCTGTGTAGTTTTTTTTTTTTTAAATCCAGTAATATAGAAAACATTTTACTTTTTCCTTCTTAAGTTGGCTGTGGAGAGGCTGTTATCTCATCCAGCTTTGTAGGATGTGAAAGGCTTCTATATTAATGTAGAAGTGGGTGTTTTAAATTAATCTTGTATTTTATTAATTTTTCTCAAATAGTAATTGCACGTTTTGCAGTTTAAAAATACTGCTAATCAGTGCATATTCTAAATGTCAGCTCCTTGGCTGGTATAAATGGCTATGGATTCATTAGTTTCTGCTGTGCTGCACTGATTAATGACAAGTGTAGATTTGGTCCTAGGCTGTTAAATGCAGCATCATCATTTATTTTCTCTTTCCTCCAATCCCAAAGAATTTTGAATCAGTAAAAATAATGCAGGAAGAAAAAGAAGAAAATTGATTGCCATATACTTCTGGAGGAAAATATTCTAAAAGAGAATTTTTGTTGTTCTTTACACCTTTCATCAAACCATGTTAATATACAAGATTTTTTTGTTCTAGTGGAGCTTCTAAACTCTCTGGTTTTGCTAAGTATCAGTTTCTCCCTTTACAGTGAGACACACTGGTTGTTCAAAACAATCAAGCAACTTGTTCAAGGTTAGTCAGAAAGTCATCAGAGTTGAGAATGAAGCAGAGGTATCCTATCCTTGTCCTTAGGCATAGCTAAAGTCATCATTTCTCCTGGAGTGATAAGTAAGGTTATGCTGAATGACAGGAGTTGCTGAGGAGAAGGGATTTCATTTTGGTAGTGACAAAATTAAGTAAAGGAAAGAGAAGATTGCTGAAACAAAGTGAGATAGACAATGGTTGTAAAGTAGGGAAGGGAGTGTGCTACAGAAAGCAAAAAGGAAGACTCCACAAGTTCTTTCTAATAGTTGATTGCTTCTGTAAAGTGCAATGCAGTTTTTGCAATCAGTTCTAATCTTGCAGAATGAAAAGTGGCTCCTAGTCCAGGATCTCTAACATTGTCCCTATATCATCAAGCAGTTTCTTCTTTTCACAGTAATAGAATTTTTCAGAAAAACTTGGTACTTTGTTTTGGGATTCCTTGAACACAAATCCTGTCCTTTGGGTTGCTGAGTAGCTTTCAGTCATTCTTAAATGAAAATCAATTTGTCTGTGTCAGTAGCCTGACAGCGTCTGATTTTCCTCCCCTTTTGTGATTGTCTGGATTTTACTCTGTTGCTGAGATGTGCTCTAAAGTGTAGCATGTTACATGTTAGAATTAAGTTCCTAGTTTGAATGTACACCTTGCTCTATCTTACCTGTAAGGACAAAGCAAGAAAGTAGCCCAAAATCACAATTAGCTTTTAAAAAGTAAAATTAGTCTTTTGAAAACATTTTGAGATGTAGCTTAAAACATCCTAAGAGAGTTCTGATCTGCTTAACTGGCGTTTGTCTAGCAGGTTTTAACAAATACAAGGTGGAAGTTTACAGAGCTCTCATGTGCTGATGGAGAATAGTGGTCATTAGACTCAAAAGCCACTGTGTAAATATGTTTGTATTAGCTATAAACTCCAAGACAGGCTCTAGCAGGTAGTGATTGAACAGTAAATTAATGTCTTACTAAAATGGTACATTTTCACTGACATTTCATGTTTAGAAAAAAACTCTAGTGAAAATACCAAATGTCATGTTATATACTGTAAATTATCAAGGCTAACTCAACACAGAGGTTCCAAAGAAAGTGCTTGGAGATATTCTGTATTTAGAAAGATGAAGAAGGTCTATATAAGGAAATTCACACCTGAAATAAGCAGTAATAATCTCATACCTTCAACAAGTGATGCCTTTGCTGTATGTGAAGATGAAGTTTGATCTGTTTATACTGTCTGGTTTGTGCAGCCTAAGGGGAAAATAAGGCATGGTTAAGTGTTGATTTTGGAACAGTTATGTAATCAAGTTTAGTTCAGTGTAGATTTCATTAATTTGACTCCCTAGTTAATAGGCAGGACAATTGTCTTCAAGTGTTTATATTCATTTTTACCCTTCTCATTTGCAGTGAAGATGAACCCAGCCTTAAGAAACCAAAAATTGAAGATGAGGAAGAGAGCTTTAGCCTTATGAAACTTGCTGAAGGCAATATCACCTCTGTAAGCATGTTTTTACAAATCTGATTATCAAAGGGGAAGATTAATTCTATAAGTGTATTGTAGTGAATATACAGAATTCCTCATAAAAGGAGAGTTTCTAGCTGAAACATGACTGAAATACTGTCTACTTGTACATTTGAGACTCTGCTAGAGATTGTGAAGACAACTTTCTCTGCCCTTAGGCATGTGTTAACACAAGTTTCCATCAGTCGTGGATATTTTAGGACAAAATTCTCTCCTGGTGTTTAGAACACTAAAAGAAAAGCCTGAGGATTTGAAGAAAACAGAATTGGAGCTCAGTGGTTGAATTTGTTCTTGCTGTCTTTCATATCTTCGGCAACATAGAAGTTGCCTCTTTGTATTTAATCAAAAGTAGTGCTGTGATTTTAGACATTGTTCTCTGCATTAATTGGGGGTCTAAATGAGAAATTTGCCTTCATCTTGCTACTAGATCTAACTTACAATTTTGTGGCTAGATGAAACTTGTATCGTAACTGTGCACCTTCCTTTATTTGATGTTTTCCTATTATAAAAAATAATTAATATTTAACTAACTTCTCTTATTTTCAGATGTGCTGTTCGTTGAGGTTAATTTTGAAAAAAAGTATTATTGATACTTATAAAAATATTTCAAATCTAAAAATATTTCAGTGTTCTGCACTTCTAATATAATTTTGGTATTTCCTGAAATGTGGCATTGTGAGATCTTAGAGAAATACAGTGAGACCAAGCAAACTTATTGTAAAGTCCATGAATTATTTTAACAACAAAGCATAAAAAAGTAGGAGAATTATGATTGCTGATGGGAAATTTTAAGCAATGTAGGTTGTTGGTTTTTTTCCCCTCAAGTTAATGCATCCGTTTTTCAGTGTTTATTTATATTTGACCTGGTTTTAGTTCCTTTGAAAGGTTTCTGCATTTGCATGCCCATTTAGAGCTTTGGCTTTAAGATGTCAGAGTCTGCCAGAAAGCCTAGATGATTTAAGTGCAAGCTTTTAATTTTTAGGTCCTATTGGAGTGGCAAAGTGCTGGTTCTGTACCCATGTGCCTGGGAGCTCACACTCCTTACTGAGCATCTGCTGAGATTAGGGAGGTCTAAGAGTTCTGTGCTACAGAAGATCTCAAAGCTGAACTAGCAGATAACCTGAATTATTGTGCTTCTGTCCTCTCAGCACCAGAGAAGTGGCCAACTTGTAACAGTGCAGCAGAATGAGTTCATCTTGCTCATGTCATAGCCAGCCTTTGCCAGGAGTACTGTGCATTAGTACACTTTATAAGACTTGCATTTTTGAGTCTGAATGTGGAGAAGTACACAGTTTGTTTTCACATTAAAATAAAAAAAAATTTAAAGATTCTTGTTGCCTGACAAGAAGAAAGAGGTGGATATTGGAAGACAATTGAATTGGTTTTGTGCTTTTTGTAGGTAGGCAGTGTTAACCCAGCAGAAGATTTCCGAATTCTGGTGAGGAAGAAAAATGCTGACTTCAAAGATGGTAAATGACTTTTGTCTATCTTAATTATATCAGTAGCACCTTCAGAGTTCAGTAAATGCAATCCATTTGTGTAAATGCAATGCAATAAATTTCTAGTGCAATGTTAGTTGCTCTGGAATTTGCGCATTAGCTTGTAGTGCCACTCAGTCAAGGAAGCTGTCATTTGTAATTCCCCTGTTAATACTTGCCTTCCCCAATTAAAAGTCTCAGGTAGCTGTGTTTGGGTGAGAAGGTGCTAGACAGCTACACTGAGGACCTGAGCAACTCCTCAGGTGTTTTTAACAGAAGACCCCTTGGTAATCACTGACTGCCTCATTCAGAGTGAACCTCAGCTTCTCACTCTCAGGATCTTTGTGGCCTGAAGTGGACCAAAGGTCATTTCTTACTGCTTGTTTGTGAAAGAAAGTACAGGTGAATTCAGACTGAAGTGGACCAAAGGTCATTTCTTACTGCTTGTGAAAGAAAGTACAGGTGAATTCAGGGTGGAATAAGCAGGTAGTATTTGTAATCTGAAAGCTGAGAGAAGGCTGTGTGCACTGACTTTCCTCAGAGATGAAAAAGAACTCCAGGCACAGGTCAAGCACTGTCTTGCATGGCCTAAGTCTGAAAATGCAATGAAATTATCATTGGTTTGTATGGTATTTCCCTCCTGGAACAGCTATGCAGGGATATATGTAATCCAAAGGTGTCTTAAAAACAAAGCACAAGATGGACGGGGCCCTTTATCTCCTAAAGGATGATTTGAAGGTTGTGGCAGGGTAAACTTGATCTGCCAAATAGCCACTAATGTCACATTCCTTTTCAAAGAAAGATTTGCAGAGGTGCTTAAGTGAGGTACTGGGTATTCATAAGACCTTTGGTCCTTTTGGATGTAATTTCAGGAGTGTGTTTAGCAGTATACTGAATTGTGATATGGCCTGTTAAAGCCTGCTTAGCTGTTTTTCTCCAGAATTTCCAGACCTCTAAGCTAGCTAGCTTTTTTACATGGATTATTCATTAGACCCATAAGAAATTATTTATTGAAAAAATATTTTGAGTTGGCAGGGTAAATCTCAGCTATTAAGATGTATTAAGATGCAGTAAAAAAATTGTACAATTGTACAATACATTATAATACAGAAACTGTGAAACATTTGACTGCTTTGTTATGGTGTTAAATTTTACCATGTAGGAAAGCTTTAAGGCAAAAATAAGTATAGTGATTACCCTTGAAGATGGTTTAAATAGAAAGAGTGCTTAAATATGTCCACTTGGTAGCTGTGCTGGAGATAACTGCAGTACATGGTTGGAAGGTCCTGAAATTTTGAGCAATTTGCTTTTATTCTTTGTGATCTGCTCTGTAGTTAAACAGAATGTAGTGCAGTCACCCATTTAAAGGAGAGGTAGAAGCCACTATAAATAAAAACATACTTTGCATATTATCTTTTTCTTCTGGATAATCCTTTTTGTGCTTTAGAGCCTTTTAGGTAGCTTAATATATTGAACATTGCAGGCATGTTTTTAATGGCTTGCTGTATTGCACTTTGGTTATGTAAATAGTAAATTCTGCCTTAAAATTATTTAGTGGTTCTAAGGGGTTTTTGGTATAATTTTGTCATTTAATGATGAATTTTTTTTTCCCTCTGCTAGAACATAAGAAATATAAAATTTCATTGCAGAAAAGGATAATCTGTGGCATTCAAGTACTTATTTGTAAAAAAGGTAGCATTTTATGTGTCAGGATGCAGACAGGAGAACTGCTAAGTTGCATTCTGTTTTTCTTTCTTGTATTTAAAAAAAAAATCTACTACAGTCTTCGTAACTGAATAGAGCTTACATTCACCTTTTAAAATAACAGCAGTCCTTTCATTGGGAAGAGAAAGACCTTTCAACTATTTGATTGAAGGTGGGTTGTTTTTTAGTAGTTAGAGAAGTTGTAGCAGTTGGAAGAGTTGTACTTTAAATACTGACACTACAGTTGCTTCTTAATTCAGCTGCAGGTTAATGGCACACCCACACCAAAATTATAAAGTTAGCAGTACCAGAGGATGGCAAGGTGCTTATTTTTCTTTTTCTTCTGAAACAGCTTGTAGGAAGTCCTGATGGTGTATTTATCACTGAAAATAGGAACCAGTATATTTCCTGCAGTGCCCTCACTGGGATGTGTTAATCAGGGTTATTCCTTTCATAGCAGAAGTCTTAAGTGAAAGCTAGTCTGTGTGTGATGTTGTGTGACAACTTTGCCACTAATGCCTAAATACATATCTGCAGAAAATCAAAGATTTTCAGATTGGTAAGGATCTTAGAGATAGGTTTTCTGGACTGGCAGCTCAATTCCTGAAACAATAATCGACTTTGGTTTTACCTGAAAACTGTGTCCTTTATTACAGTAGGGAGCTGCTTAAAGGGTACATGGTGAGATGTGTTTGATGGTTTCAGCTTACTGGTTAACGCTGATGCTCATGTAACTAGAATTGTGTTCCCCTCTAGACATCCTTTCTTATTTGCATTCATGGCCAGAGAAATGTCATGTTATGCAGGTCTTATTTTGAGCAAGTCACAAGTGTAGAGTCATCACAAAGAGATGTCTCCTGATAACAGCTTCTGACGTTTTTGTCAATGACTGCACATAAAATAGATTAGTTTACCTGAGTAGAATTAATTGTTGCTCCCAAGGGTGTGCAGTGAGTTTCTTCATTGCTGTGGCTTCAGAGCAGGCTTCAGAAAATGCAGTCAGTGCTTGCCATCTTTGTAATGCCAAGGGAGTAGCCACATAATTCCAGTTAATCCTCCTATTTGAAGGTTCCCATCCATGATCTGCATCTCTGGAGAGTACATCATCTCTGGTGTGTTGTGTTTTCATAGGCTTCTGTATAAGAATCAGGGGAAAGGTATTGACAAAAAGTATAGAAAAAGGTATTGACGCATGCATAATATTTTCTTTGATTTGTAAATGTTCTGTGTGAGTTTATAGGCCACATTTCATTGCATCTTACAGTACTCCTGTCTGAAACATGATGTTGAAAAAGCTTTTTTTATTTACTGATTTTCAGTTGGGAGAGAAATCTTCATGTCCAGAGACAAATAGCACTAAGCTCTCATTTCTATATTTATAGTAAATTAGTTAATTTATTTTTTCCCTAGGCATTTCTAGAAAAATATAGCTGAAAGAATCAGTGACTGCATTTGAACAAGGATGAGATTTTATTGCAAGAGTTTCTGTAGAAATAAGTATAGTTAATTACCTTTCTGGAGCTAATATAATTTTTTTTAATGCTAATACTTAATTTCATTCTTTGTTGGCATGTTTCTGCAGTTTGTCTGCATTTTTATCTTGCTGGATGTTTTTGTATATTTCAGAGACTATTCATGCTCTACTGCTACACAGGCCAAATGCAATGACTGGTTTGATGAAAATGATTCACTCATTAGAAGGGTTTTTGCAAACCAAATACTTGAGTATATAGAATCACTTTGAAGTTTTCTGTATATCTGCTTCACAGAGAAGATGAAGCCAGGTTTGTCTTTGAAGGGCACAGTGATTGGGTGAGACTCAAAGCTCTGAGTTTCAGCAAACAGAATTTGAATTAGATGTTATGGGGAAAAATATAATAAAGATCACAATGATGGAGCTCACACAGAAAAAGGGACCCACAAGAACTTGGAGACTCTCCATCTTTGGAGCTACATGGAACTCAAATCTGTGGAGCACTGAGGCACCCGTTCCACAGTGAAACCTGTTTTTAGCAGGGATTTTGGTCGTGTGTCCTTCAGACATCCAGCCTCAGTCATTCCGATCCGTACTCACAGAGCTTTAGGGACACCATTTCAAAACTGAACAGACCCTCAGAGGGTACTGGATCAATTCAACAGCCAACAGCTCTTGGTTTTAAAATTCTTATTTCTTGGCTTAAAGGTGAAGGAGGTCCTTAAAAATTAGTACAGTTTTCAGTTCAGAATTTCTTTCTTCTTTTCAATTCTAGAAAAATGATACAGAGCAGTATTTTAAAATGAATTATCAGGTGATTTAACTGATTTGTCAGTGAATCACACTTTAAGCACTGCCCATGAATACAAGTCATTACCACCAGCAGCATGAAAATCAGAAGATTAACAATGAGAGTCTTTTGTCTAAAAGAAGAAATTTTTTTTTTAGCATGATTAATTTTTTTAGAGGGGGAAAATCCCCAAGGAGTCGAGCTTGGACTGTAATAATAGACAGCTTTGGCTCTTATTAATGTGTAATCTGATTGATATAGTAATCAAGACCAAGAACTGAACTGAAGAAACATGAAAGTATAACTGCACTTCTGTAGCGTAGCTGTTCAGAGATAACAAGTGAATATAATTGTTCATGGCATATTTCACAAAAAATGACAGCACTAGTGAATGTATTTTGGAGTAGCAAACGTATCTGAATGCCAGAGGGGAAGGGATTAAATTCTGCTAGAACTAAAGATCTTCTATTCTGGGATTTTTTTTCCCCTGCAGTTCTCCAACCCTTAATAACTATATTTGTTATCTAACCAGTCAGGTACAGTAAAAAGAGTAAAGAGGAGATTAAAATTTCTTGGGATGTTCTACAGAATGTTGTGGTTATTAGGACTACTGGAAATTGCAGTTAATGTAAAATGTAGAAGTCTGTTGTTAGTTCTCTTCCTTAAATGTGTGTGGAATGGGGGAAGCTGGGAAAGAAGAAAAAAGTTACAATTACACAGGAGTGGCCTGTATAGGCTATCAGTTTGTAACTCAAGGGCCTACTCCTCAAAACCTCAATGCCTGAGATTTGTCTGGGACACATCAGAGTTAATGCTTATCACAGCTTAGTTAAAAAAACATCTTTATGCAGAACATGCCTTGCTGCAAAAACAGGGACGTCTATTTTTTGCAGCATCCAGACCAAAGATTCAGACTAATGAAAAGGCAGCAGGAAATCAACGAATTTCTCAGATTAGAAATGTAAAGGAACAGCAACCACTTCAAGAATTTCCTGCTATAATCCTTATCTACTGTCTTTAATATTACTTTTGGTTCCCTGAAGTAATTTGGTAGTCTAATCAGAACATAGGAGTTTTTGTCTATTTAAGATTCACCCATCATTGCCCTATCATTTGAGGGAAACCCAATAGACAGAACCAACTTTTTAGCGTGGCTACTTCAGGATGTTAGAATGAGACTTTAAATGCTGTTGGCATGTAACCTGTTTGCTGCCTGTATTATGGACTCTCAGTGCCTGGTAAAACATTGCAGGTTTCCTTTGGTTCCTTACAACAGATTTCAAATGGAGGTATCTCACAGTCAGTAACAAGAATGTCTTTCCTTCTGACGGCTGCCAGGGCAATCAAATGGAAAGGGATTTTTAAAAAAATAAATGCAAAAGAAGTACTAGAGTGTCTGATAATTTCAAACAGTATGCTGGAATCTTTCTGACAATAAAGACTTTTATTGCACCCTTATAGTGCCTGGGGCTTTAATTTAACACATCAATGAGAAGGCAGTGTTTAAAAAAAACACCACCACCACTGAAAACACCAGCAGGACTTGCTTTTATTAGTGCAATTCATAAGAAATTAGAACATTTAATGAGAAAATCATTAACCATGAAAAAAATGGACTGACTTAACTTGGGAAGCTTAAGTAGTTAGACTTCAATTTAGTTTGTCAGCTACTGGTGAAATAAATAGAGAGTGAGCTGATTACCTCTGGCACAGTAGGCACTTCAGCACACTTTCTTGTGCTGTAGCTGCTGTTGGGCTGAACCATTATCTGCCTCCTTTTCTAGAAACTGTCAAAACCTAGTGGGAGAATATCAAACATGTCTTGTTTCACACTATGCAGAGATATTGTCCTTCAGATTCAGTTCAATTAGGCATTTTATAGAAAATTATGTAACAGCTGGTGCTGTGCATACTCACAAGAGCAGAGAGGAACACCATACTTAAACAATGTTTCCTTCTTCGTGTGTTTACTGCTTGTTTCTTCCACCACTCTGGCAGGTACTTTTCTTTGTTGATGCTTCCATAGCTGAGATTCTTGAAGTGATGTCTATGCCCATAACATCTGGAGCTGAGAAGGGCTATAGATCAGGGGAAGGGTTCTGCTAATCCACTGACTGGTCTTTAACAGTGCAAGAACAGGGCAGGCAGATGCTGTGACTTGGTCAGAAAGTGTTCCTGAATCTTCTTCCTCAATGGTAACAACACTCCCTTGACAGACATCCTCTTTTAAGAATTCTAAAAATTTCTTCAAACATTTTTTTAAGTTGTTTAAACTTAAATCAGCCTTTGGTGAAGGGGTTAATTGCTGATATATGTTCCAAAAGATCCTGTTTTATTGTTTGTTCTTAACCCAAGTCTTGGCTCTTATTTTGAGAGAGGCAGGGCACTATCAGCTCCCTATTCATTCTTTTCACAATGCTTCTGAGTTTATAGATACTGTTGTATCCTCTTCACACTTGTTTTTTCCCTGGCTGATGTGTTTGCCAGAGGGTAAAATTGGACAGTTCCTTGACTGTAAGTAAACATGAAAAGAAAGTAAATTACTAAAATCTAGCAGAAATTAGTTGGGATTTGCAGAGCACTTGGGTGATGTTTTCTCTTGTCTGTTTGCAGTGGTTTACAGCTACCTACCTTTTAGGAGCTCAACAGTAAGGGTAAAACTGGTGTTCCCCTTCTTGTTGGTACAGGTCTCACTGTTTACCTCTGCTTCTTTCTGTCAGGCACACACAGTTTATAATATCTATAATTATAAACCTCCTTGCTCTGATGAAAAATTATTAAACTACCTGTACGAGAGACAAGACATACTCTGATGTCAATAACAGCAAGGTCTTTTAACCCCACACATGTTGGTTTGACATGATTACACCTTTCTCATAAATTCAATGCTTTTATTGAAATATGCATCAATTGCAAAGGATGTTTAGGGGATACACTTGTGTTGTAGAACATTAACCTCCTTAAGCTTTAGGAATCCAAATTTTTATCAAGCAAGTCGGGCCACTGCTTTTTTTTCTGGGCTTTCAGGGAAAAGTATGCCTTGGACATGCTTGAGGTTCTTCCTAGTGTATCTGGCTTTTCCAGACATGCTGAAATTATTGTCGCTAGCTTATATAACAATTATCAACTTGCATAGCTTCAGGCAGTGTGGGTATGATTAACTACTTAGACGCCTGTGGAGTAGAAAAAGAGAGATATAAAAGAAAAGTTGGGGGTTTTTCCTTGAAAGTGTGTATTCTTTTATTTATTTATCAGTTTATTTCTCCTTGTCTTCCAGTGAGTCAGCAGTTGATAAACCGCATTGATCAGTTCTTGGAAAATAAAGGTTCCCAGTACTACATGAAAGGGATTGACTGTATCAGAGTTTTTAGAGAGGAGGCCATGAAGGTAATGTTAATGTGTGAATACTCATACCTCTTTAAATTAAAAGCATGATGGGCCTATTTGCTTGATAATTTATTGCTGCTGCAAAAAGAATTTAAATATGTTTCAAATTTTAGAAATAGAGTTGCATTTTATGGGGGTTTTTATTGTTACTGAAATGGGGACTGGCCTCTCTGGTATTACTTGCTGTTGTTTGTTTTTGTTTAAACATGAAACAGAAAGCCCATGACCTGATGCTTGTGCTAGCTAAAAGTACAATCCTACAATTTTCTTCTTCAGCAAAGCTAGTTACAAGAAAGTCTTTCTAGCATTCTGAGAGGCACTTTTTGTGGCTCACCTTTCCTTAGAACTCAGTTTTAATAGAAATAAAACCCACATTCTGTAGAGACTTTTGTGTTCACCATGTTAAATAACTTCCTGAAGAAATAAGCTTGCAGTGCTCTTTAGTAGTTTCAATATTTCTTGCTTACAATTGCTGTTACATTTTTTTCAGCTGTCCAAGGTGCAGTGCTTTAATGACTTTCTGCAGGAACTGAAATCAAAGTTGGAAGATAAAGCCTTATCTGATTTCTGGGAGATTATGGTACAAGGTAGGATGGCATTTTAAAAAAACTAGACAATTTCTAGCTGTATTGCATTTATCCATTAAGTAAGAAAACTGCATTAGCAGTGGGACACTTAGATTAACCCCACTGCATCATTTTGATATGCTTCATTCCTGCAGCTGTTTAAAAAAAAAAACCTTTCATGTTGCAGCTTCCTTTCTTTTTCTGCACTAATAGTTTCATATCAGCATTATTCATAAAGCATTGCCAAGTCTTGTTGAAATGGTAAATTAATTGTGGAAGAGACAAATTAAATGTTATAGGGTAAGGAGAAGAAGACACAATTTCAGCTGAATTTCAGAATAAATGGAAAAACTCATGCAGTAGAGCTATAAAAAGATTCTTGCAGTTTAAGCTTCCAAAAAGTCATAGATAGCGTTGAAATGTGTCACTGATCATGTTGTATTTAAGTAACCTGAAGGACAGAATATGTGGTAATATGACACCTACCTATGATTAAACTGGGAGATACAAGGCAGTGCCATTCTAAAAGACATTTAGAGACTACACAAGTGATAAATAAAGGAACATTTTCACAAATAGAAAATGTAGTGGACTAAAAAAAAAAAATCTTTTACCTCATACTCTAGTTTTTAATTGGAACCAATGCTAAGAAAATCTGTTAAATGCCCAGCTGTATCTCTTAAGGGTGCATGCTATAAAATGCAGTGATGTGATTTTTGTGTAGTATCATTCAAAGTGATAAACTCCAGACATGCTGTAATGTCTACTTTGTCTAACTTTGAATAACAGGATGGGAATTTGCTTAGCAATGTGAAAAAAACAGCACAGGGCAGCACTGACATGAACATTATATTGAGTAGTGCTGTAGGGGACCTTCTCTGTATAAATTTGGAAAAAGAAACCAATAAACTTTGAAAGACATGAACTTGGCTCTTTCAAAGCCATGAATAAGTTTTAGTTAGTGTAAATCAGAGTTTTTGACAAACTGCATTATGTTTTTTAGGAAATAATCAACCAAACAAACAAATACAGAGAGAAATTATAATTTCAGACAGCATAGGTTATCTTCCTTTGAGAACATGGTGAAATGAAATCTTGATGGTTAAAATGTAATCTGGCTGCTCTCAGTAGGCAGTTGAAATTGCCTTTTTACTTGCTGCTAGCAAGAACAAAAGTTCTGTTTTCTCTCATTCTTGCCACATGACCCATCCCCTCTTTTCTACCAAATGTGATGTGCATTGGGTCTTGTCATGAGTGGCTGCCATCCCCAAAAGAAGATGGATATAAGTTAATGAGTTGGTGGTTCAGAAGAAAGGCAGATCTGTTTGACGAATTCCTTTGTTTTATCAAACTCTGCCATGTAGTTCTGTGAAGGTGATGCTACACTTACACTGCTGCTGAAATTTTTATGAATCTCCTATTCTTTGCTCTCACACCCACAGCTGCTTGTTCAGGCACAAGTATTTGTATGGCCAGTGATGAACTAGACTGGAAAAAATATTGGGGTCAAAATAAATGGAGATTTTATTTTGAAGTTTTGTTAGGGAGGTGGGACATCACTACACAGGGTGCTGCTGTTGGCACAACCAAGGAACAAAGTGGGGCAGGACCAGCACTTTGGTAGTCAGACTAGGTAATCACAGCACAAGTGTCTGAATGCTAGGAGTTAATTTTTTCTGAGGACCTGAGAGCATGCTGTGAATGACTAAAAGTGCAGTTTCTAATAGATTTTCAGCATTTCATCTGTGATCTATGCTTTCAGTGTCTCATTAGTTTGATTGTCACAATATTAGCAGTTTCCTAAATGGATACTTCCACAAGCTTATGAATATGCTCATTAATTTATTTTTGTATCGTATTTTATATCATAGTTGACTCATTTATGCGAGTCACATTTTCCTTTGAGTGATACTCCTTTTTTTTTACTGGTGATGATGACACATCCAGAAGTTGGAATGTGGAACATTTTTTTCACTTCTAACATTAGGTGAATTTTTAGGAAGCCTTCTAATGATATTTTTATGTAATTTTTTTTTCAGAAAGAATTTCTTTGATCACTAAAGATGAAGCGGAAGGAAGTTTGGTGACAGGTGAAGAGGCTGAGAAGGTATCATTTTTTTAATGAGCATCTGTTTGTATAGAGCCCTTGCTGTGGAACTGAAGACTTTCTCACATGGATAAATCTTCAGCTGAGTGAAATAAGATCCATATGAAGAAATAAGAATGTTCATTTGCCACGCAATTGAAACTTCTGCATTTCAGAGCAAAAACACGTTAGCATGTACTACAAGTTTTACTGTAATTGGTCTTTTAAAAGTAGCATGTATTCAAATGGTGTGAAAATATCCTCTACAAAGAATAGGAACTTCAGCAACTCAGTGCAGTGGAACAGCAGAGAACTCTTTACATATGTAAGATAACAGCAGAATACTATTTCTTCACAGAAAGAAATATGTTCTCACTGGTAGCACAAGTTCAAAAATCTGACACTTGTTTTAAAAGGTTTTGTGAACTCCAGCAATTCAAGTTGTTGAGGCTAGTTTTCACCATACATGCAGTGATACCAATATTTTAACTTTGTGCAGCTCTTGTGGATTGGTGAACATCATAGGTGATGCTGGGGGTATTATTGGTGGCTATATTAGATCCTTCTGGAAATGGGAGTTTTGGACTATTTACAGGCATAATTTCTATAGATATGTAGCATTTTAATAACTACAGAGATCAATGAAGGATGTCCCAGTTACAAAGGACTGAATTGTAACAGGCAGAATGGTGCCTTCTCTTTGGAAGGAAGCAGAATTCAGAGCTGCTGTCAAAAATTATATTTGTGTGGAGAGGATAAGACAGATGTTTCTGTACCAGGCTGCTAGTTTAGGAAAAAGGTCCTTGTATCACATACCCCCTCTGAAGTTAAGACTGTGTCTAAAATCACCATTTTGCAGAGAAGTAGTTTTTATAAAAGATGCCACATTGATTTTGCAGCTTCCAGGCCTTCCATAAGCAATAGCCAAGAGTGAGTAGAAGTAGGTTCTCTATGATTTAGTAAATGAGTAGAAAAAGCTTGTATTTTAGAAACTGCTTTTTTCATCTGTAACAATTTACCTCAAGGTGAAGGAGGCACAGAAATGTCATGAAAATGAAAAGCTAACAAACTAGGAGTCCAGAAAGCTGAGCACACATGCAGGATACAAATGACAGAGTATGGTGATTTTTCTGGACATGAAGGACCTACTGGCTATTTATCATTACACATAAAGGTATAGAGCAACTTTTCCCCCAGTGGTGGTTTTAAAGAGTATCAGTCTTTTAATCTATTTTAAGTGCTATGAATTTATGTGGAAACTTCCTAAGACAATATTGTTATTGAGAACTATACTTTCTAGTCTGAAACTACCACTAATGTTCAAAAAATGTGCTAATGCTGTGAAATAGCCACTGTTCCTTAAGAAAATCTCTGCTAACCACAAAGACCTTGCAGCATACCATTGTCTTCACTGTGAGCTTGTGGTGGCTAAAAAATACTGTGCCTGTACAGGAATGCATCACAAATGATAGAGTACTGAGGACTGGATTCACAGCTGTCAGGCTAAGCTGGAGAAGGCATTTATAGGCTGACTGCCAATTTGCATTTTTGTTTACCTTCATCCTGCAATCACCGTATATTGCAATACAGGAAACTATTTTGTGACTGAGGATCATTTTGTGATTGATTGAAGGTCATACAATAGCTATGTCTTCCCATTAAACTGGAGAAATACGAGATATCACATGAAATCAGTTTAGCACCTCAGTTCTCTAATCTGGCAGTTACCTGAACTTCCAGAGTAATTGGATTGCATCTCTTTGCTAACTAAGCAGTTAGCAATTCCAGATATTGACTAGATAAGCATCTCCCCACACACTGTCCAAATCCAATCCCAGAACCCTAATTCCCATTGGCTCTTAAGGGCTCATATGACTTTTTCATTAAGAAACTGCAAGATTGTGTATTCTTGGAGTGAAATCTGCAGGGATAGAATATTTTATCTTGGTATTGTGAGGCTGCTATAAAGTCTCGTCCTCTTTGGTCCAATTAAACCCTGCCACAGTTTTCCTGTGTGATACAAAGCCAGCATTTTCCTAGGTCTACAGCAGATTGCAAAAGTGGTTAATTTAGTTTCTGTACTGAAGGTGATACCCTTTGCTTAAGGGTTATATTAGATTTTTTCAAATATCTCCCAGTAGAGTAAGATGCAAGTTTTCTTCACCTCTGTACAGGTTGTGTGCAAGCCTGTAGGTCATGGGGTTGTCTGTCAGTGTTGTCCTTTGTGACACAAAAGCCCTTTCTCTTATGTGCTGTTTACTAGCTGCTAGTAGTTGCAAGACTGTTTTGTCTGTAGGATTACAGGTTTTATAGGCTTGCTGTCTGCAGGAAAAAGGAAGAACCTACCAGGCTGCTTATTAGACAGGTCAAACTTTCCTTTTTCTTTTTGCTTGAGGTAGGTTATACATGCATATTTTCCTATCACAGAGAATTTTTTTCCCTGTAATAGTGGAGATACTCTTTTTAGAGCCTGAGAATGGTAGGTTAAAAGAGCAGGAATGTCAAGTGCTTTTTCTGGTTGCTTTAGGGAAGATAATGGATTTCAGCATAGCTATTATATGTAATTTGCTTTTGCATAAATGTAAAACAGGTTTTCAGAAAAAAACCCCAACTTCAGATGTTCAGCATTTGATAGAAACTTCAGGTTTCAATTTACTGCAAATCTTCATTGTACATTTCTCTAGCTTTTAGCTTTCTTTGCATAATTTAGTATGAGAAAGCTGCTTGTAAAAATTTTGAAAAATATGCTGCTTCCAGAAATACCAATTGACTCTTAATTAAACGTGAAAAAAGGAAATTTGATTTGGCACAAAAAGCCTTTCAGAGCTGACAAATGTCATGAGCTTTTAGTTTCATAGTATGTGCTTTATATTACTACTAGATTAAGAACTCTTCCAACAAAAAAGATAAGCAGACGTACAGCATCCTGAAATTCTAATTCAATTCCTTCTGTCACATTCCTTGCCTTTTCTTTTTCATCAGCTACAGAATCTCTACAATAAGTTAAACTCAGCTTGTTAGAATATGAATGTTGTTTGTGCAGTGAGATTTCTCTATTTCTCTTGGATGTTGCTGCTTAGGATGCAGGAAAGGTCTGACCACTGGTCACTGGGACAGTGAGGCAGAGGTTGCCCATCCTCTGTCTTTGGTGTTACCCAAACATGATGTATTGGCTTTGCATCCTAGAGGATGCAACAGGAGAGTTAGAGTTCTACCCCATGTCTAAAGCTGTCACTGGGGTTCTAGAGAAGGATCAGAATATTTTATTTATTTCAAATAATGCTGAAGTTTTTCACACTACAAATGTATGGTCTCAGAGATTGGTGATGTTAATCCCATGGCCTCTTACAACCTCTCTGGCTGATACAGCTGAAGTCCCCAGCTGAACAGCAGCTCCCTTTTAGGAGCACAAAAGAGTTATCTAAGCAGGTATTTATAGCCTGTTTAATGTGGCTATTTTCTACTTAGCTGTTCTCTTTCATCATCTGGAGTAATAGTGAAGTTGTTTCTGACTTAAGGATGACAGGACTCAAAGTCTGGGAATGTGGCTTTTCCTCCTTAGCTTCATACCTATGTTTCCAGGGTTGTTTCTGGCTGTGTATACTTCTTCTGGTGCATTTTAATAATAAGAAAAAAAAAAAAAGATTTTATATTAAGGACATTGATAAAAAGGTAGTAACTAGGATTTGTAGACAACTGGATGCTTTTTAAAGTAGGAGTTAAGTATTGCCATTTTTTCCCTACTATTTTAGTGTTTTGGGTTTTTTTAGGCTAAGAGAAAATCTGTGAAATAATTTGGAGGTGGTTGTACTCCAGATATTGTCTGTATGTTTGATTTCAGTTTTTATAGTATCTGAGCAACTTACCTTTCTCTTCTGTTTATGAATGTCATGCTTTAAGTGAAGGGCATATGGTGAGTTGTATCAGCAGCTACGGCAATGTAATTTTACATAATGAATTTTCCATTTTTAAGACTGGCATTCCAACCATCTTGCATGTTATAGGGTTTTTTTTTTTAAATTCATATCTTTGTTCATGTGGTAAATGTTAATTGAATTAAATGGGGAACTTATAAATTCAACACAGGACTAGAATGCTGGGTGTAGGAAATGTCTCAAAGAAGCCCTTGGTCACCCTCATGTATGTACTCGTATAATTGGGGGCATTTTGTTATCCCTGAGCATTTTGTAGCTACACACAATATTTCTGAAGAACATAAACGTGGTCAAACTGAAATGGATAAAATTTCCATCTAATCCAGAATCCCATCTGACAGTGGACAAAAAGGGATGGGTAGAGAAAAATGTACAGTCCCAGGCTGCAGCCACTGATGCCTCAAAAACTTCTAGTGCCTGAGGTTGTTTCTGTGGGCTTAGTAGACGTCAAATGATTTCTCTTCTATGCATCTTTATCTCCCCCCGAGTCTAGGGAATAATATTTGTAGCATCCTTATCACAGGGTGTTCTACAGCCTAACAATGTGTTGTCTCAAGAACTGTATCCTTATGTCTGGTTTTTGACACACTTCACCATAAAACACTTTAAAAGCAAGTCTTACAAAGTTTTTTGTAGTTTAATATGGTTTTGGAGGGTGGAAGCCAGAAAACACTTCCTTCCTGGTGTTTAATTTCAGGTGGCTTTGTTTTGATATACAGAAGAGACATTCTGTCAATTTAACATTGAAGGCTCTCAGTTTTGTCAGTATCACATAAATACCTTTTTTTTTTTTTTTTTTTTTAGTTCTTGGCTCCAAAAGAACAGAAAAATGAAACTCTGCCTCCTACAGATGAAGGTGGTGATGTTGATGATTTGGTGAGTACCATAAAGATGTGGTGTAGCTTTAGAATTAAGCTCTGAATGAAAGGTGCAACAAGAGAGCCAAATGCTTCTTAAAGCAGTAGATATTAGGGTTCATGACTTAGCAAACACCCAAGGAATTCAATCAGAAGAGCCACATGAAATTACTTACTTGCTATTGTAAAACTTAGCCAGGTGTGTAATTTCATAATGGCAAATACTGTGTGATGTAGCAACATAGGTGTTTACAGGGGTGAAATGTGTCCTCTAATATGCTTCAAAAGAGCCAGTGAGCCATTCATTTAACAGTGGATTGGTATAATTTACTATAATAGCATTTTAAAAGCTTTATAGCTCTTGAACAGCTAGTTATGTGGGTTGAAAACTCAAAAACATTTTTTAAAAGATGTTTTGATTTTTCGAATTAAACTTCTCTATATAGGCTTGCTGAAATTCAAGGATACCAGGCTTTTTAATAAATATTTTAGCCATCTTTTACAGGCTGACTCATTACAAATCTGTCTCCAAGGCTTAAGCTGATGGTGTAGATGGTTTTAAAGAAGCTTTAATAACAGACAGATTTCTACATTTGGACTGTACTTTTAAAAAATCTATAAATTCACAGATGATTATGTGGAGATGAGATTTTTAGGTTTGTTTTTGGACTTTATAGAAGATTAGTACTGAATTCTGTGCAATCTATTTATGTTAGATGATAAGGATTCCCAAATTTGCTTGGTTTTCTCAGCACTAAACACATGTAAGAAATAACTTCAATGCTGCTTCTTTCAAATCTGTTTCTTCTGTTTGCAGCTGGACATGATGTGACCAGTGATACATGGTGACTATAAAAGCAAAGTTTTGGAAGAGATGTCTCTGGGAGATGGGGCCCAAAAAAAGATGCTATGAGAAGACAGTACATCCATCTTTATTTTCTCAAATGAGAACAGAAATCCCAGAAACATTTCCAGCTGGTATAAATGGCACCTGACTTTCAAAACTAGAACAGAAGATTGAAATTGTCTGAAGTATTTGGGAAGTAATGATACCTTTAAGGCATCTTTTTTTTTTTTCCTTTAGAACTGAATTTAGCTTATCCTTTGTATTGCTTTAAGCTGAACACTACTAAATTTAATGAGAATCTGTTCTGATGCCTGAAATTCTTGTTATATTGCCTGGGAAGGAAGACAGAAATGTAACAGCAAGGTTACCAGGTAATACTGAATATTTAGTGGAGATAACCCTATAGGTTTATTGTTACAGAAGGGGAAAAGTCTGTTATTTTCATGCTTTAAAAAAACCAACCAACCAACTCAAACAAAAAACAAGATAGAGCAAAAAAAGTCCAACAAAGCATCATGAAAATCACCACAGAGGCTTGTGGGAAAAAATTCTAGGCCAGGGACTCACAAGTTAATAGTTTGAAATACAAACTATTAATACAACAGATTCTAAAGCACGTAGCAGAGCCAGGTGTGCTGATTTTGCCACACTGACCCCAGATCTGTAATTATGGTCATCTCTGTACTACAGGTTCTCTTATCTGTCAGCTCAGCAGCAGCCCAAGGTTTCTGTCCCTTTCTGTTACACATTTTCCTGTTTCATGTGCTGGGATTTTTGATTTTTTTAGACTTCTAACTAGTACAGTTACTGTAGATGCTCCTGGTGCTAAAGCAGAATGAATCAGTTCTGTGTCCATTCCATACACTGCTGAGAGCTGCTAACCCAGAGCAGAATGCCTCAAAGCTGTGCACTGACAGCTGTGATAGGTAAGTGATAATAGTTAATACTGGTAACCAGGATGGAGTAATGTCTACACAGAGCAATCCAAACTGGTCAAATACTGCTTAGAAAGAGACATTCAAGTCTGATTACAGAGCAGAAGAGCCAGTAAGGACACCTTCACACATGCTTGTCTGTTAGAACCAGATTCATTCCTTTAAAAGCTGTTGTTTCATTATTATAAATGTATAAATATACTCTGTGAAATGGTATTAAGATCACAAAAAAAGGAAAAATCATGATCTGTAGTTGCAAAATGTTGTGGAATGTTTGCACTTTTTACTGGCCAACAGCTCCTGTGTGGGAAATAGCAATTGCTTTTTGTCCCTACTTCCTTACCTAGCAACCTACTCTCCTGTCTTGCATCCTCTCCTGACTGAGTTAAAAGCATTTCTCAAATGCAGCTGGCAGGGAGCATCTGCAAATGCAGACCTTTATAGCTTTTGTATCACCAGAAGATATTTTTCTCAACTGTAAATAAGGATTATTTGATCAGTGTTTCAAATGCCAATATGTGGGGTATACTGGCTGGGGGTTTCTTTTACACTTTATTTTTTTTTGTTTAATAAAAACATTTTAAAGGTCGGGTTTTGTCTTCAGAGCCATGTTTGCTAGAATCAGGTGACTACTTATGCAGTACCTAAAGGAAACTATCAAAAGCCCTTTTTCTGGGCCTACAATGCAAACATTGAATATCAAAATTCCCTTCACAGAAGCAGAGTATACTTATTCTTTATGAACTCTAAACTTTGCAACACCCCAGTAAAGTAGTTTTTACTATATTGCAGTGATGATGAGAAAATCTTGGGTCAAGGCCACACAGAATATAGAACCTGGTGACCAGAATATGGAGTTACTTTGTTTCTTTTGATTCAGTAGGCCACATTTCTAGAGTGTATTGTTTCTGTCAAGGAATATACATTTAGTTCATGGAGAATTGCTGCATAGATCTTCTTGCTACCTGTACAGCACAATACATTCAGGTGGGCTCAGTGTGGTGATTGAGTTGCTAGTGCTGAGAAGAGGAATGAGAATTTATGACTCAAAATAAATAAAAGTGAATTCTTGCAAGGCAAGAACAGCATCTTTCATTCTGCCTGGGCTTCTGAGTTCAGTCTTCAGAAGCTTCTGATCTTGGGGAGGGTCTGTCACATCAGCAGCCTGATTTTACATTTGTTCTGTGGCAAAGGGCCAGCTTTCATGTTCTCATTCAATGACTGGAAGTGATCTTACATTTAGTTTAAGCTCACATTTTCAGTTACAAATCTGACTTCCTGTTTGGTGGGCTGACTCAGTGTTTACACTGAGAATTCCCATTTTCAATTGCCACACTGACCAGTCCTCAGTAGCACTAGAGCAGTTAGTTGTTCCCTTCAAAAGCAGCTGTAAAGGAAACATAAAGTGCATTTGCTTTACTGCAAGCAGCAGAACATAACATACTTTATAGGCAGAGAAATTATCAGAGCATCTACAAAAAAGAAGACTGTGAAGACTTCCTTAATTAGAAGTGGGGTGTGGACTTGGGGAGGTGGAGAATATCCAAAAGTATTATCCCAGAAAGGGTAAGTAATATGTGAGGGAGCTGGGACCATAGCATGGAATTGAGAGTACTCCACAGAAAAGGACAAAATACTGGGTTTGGGAGTCATAGAGGAAGAGTAAGACACTTCTGGTTACAATATACTGTGAATCTGTGATTATCTAGGCTATATCAATTCTGCACAAAGCATTTTGCTCTGTCACTGGGTAATGAGGTCTGCTATCTATTATGCAGTTCTCAAGTTTGGTCTCTCCTTTTGTACTCAGAAACCACATTTGTCCTCTTGGACAGTTGTCAATATGCCACAGTAATAAAAAATAACTTGTAGAATGCTACATAGTTGAAGACTTGAGAGTTGTGTGATATTAATCAGGTTGAAATGAATGTCAGGTCAGCAGTATGATGTCAATGTGTTTGGACAATTCTGAAAGCAAGGCTTCATCTCTGTCCTTAGAATGTGGCACAGAAGTATTACAAATGCCATCAAAACACTTCTAGTGTGAAGAGACCTGTTCTGCTGCACTGTGGTCTCTTAGTTGCCAGAGTGAATTTACATCTTGCTAACTTTCCTGGTATTTGGGTTTTGACAGAATTGTCTGTTTGATGTTGGAGCAGGACCTTTGGAATTAGAGAATGAGGAAGGAAAAGCAGTTATCTCAGTTCTGAATTCTAAAGACACAGGCCGTTTTTGTAGTCTGCATTTGCACATGATAAAAGGCAAGGGAGGAATTCCCTTGTGGTCTCAGTAGGGTTGGGGATAATCTGGAAAGAAGAATTTTGACTTGGCATGTTGCTAAGCTGGCAAATATACTGGTAGATATTGCTGCTGTGCTTGTAAGGGTGGGTTTGGATTTGTTCAGCCTCCCCACTGTCAGTGTGAAATAAACAGTTAAATTTAGCTGTTGGTTTCTGACAGTGGAAAACTCACTTCCACTAAATTTTCAGCTTTGCTTCCTTTCCCCTTCCATCTTCATTCTTCCCTTGGTACCATTACAGTAGTGGAGCACAGTGCTGGGAGCACTTGTGAACGTCAGATGTAAGAAACCTCCAAGTTTTCTTGTGTCTCTTTTGAGATGTGGTTTGCCAAGATTTTTTTAAAACTCAAAATGTTCCCAGTACTAGCAGTGGACTGGAGGCCCACCCAGGCTTTTGTTTCTTAATTATTTGAAGAACTACCACATAGAAAAACCAGTTCTTTCAGCAAACCTTCACCTCTTAAAGGTACTGGTAACGTAAGACAGCACTGACTTCTGCAAGAGGTGACTTGTCTTTCTGGGGGTGGAGTTTGTGTATAGCATTTCTCTGCACTGTTTTGAGGGCAGCTCTAGAAGAAGTTCTGTACCAGTTTGGACTCTTCTTTTCTTACCTGAAAATTTTAGATGAATAGATTACCACACATTAAAGAAAATAAAGGAAACTAGAATAGGTGAACTTTTCTTTTGTAATACTATTATATTCTGATATGTAGGTCTGAAATAGATACATTTTAAAAGGCAAGGCTGTGCTTTTTAGCCTCTCTTACCTTTCCCAAAGGATCAAAACCCACATTGAACTCTGCATAAAAAATTGGCATAGAGATATTCTTTACAAGAAAATTACTTGGAAAACATTTGAACAAAGCTTAGCTTGAAGTTTGATCATATCTTCCCATGCAGCAAGTTCTGCTAAGTGGAAAGATTATGTCCCACTCTACCTTTCCTCTTCTACTGTTCTGGAATAATGCTTGCTTTTATGCAAATAACTAAACAGGAACTAGAAAACCTCTCAATTTTGTCTTTACAAACCAGGCATAACTTCAGTGCATCTGTGAGATGAGCACCTTAAAATAGACTCTTTGCTCATCTGACTCTGCACATGCTGTACTTTAGTGACTTAAGCTGGATAGAAATTAATCTGCTTCTTCCCAATAAACTTTGTGAAGACAGCATGGCTAAGACATAGTAAGATTAATTCTGTTCCTTCTGATGCTTCCCCATTACAAGTCTCAACATCAAAAGTCTGACCATCAAAAGCACCTCTTTTGGCAGCAACCTGAAATACTTACAGTACTTTTTGCTGTTACCAAATAATGAATTATTCCACAGCGCTAAAAATTACTCAGATTTGGTCACATATATATTTACTGGTGTATTAATTCTTAGGACCCCTCCCTATGCACCAAGTCAGCTGTATGGACTACTGTGAAAGTTTGAGTACTCTATAATGGAATTAGTAGGTTGACCACAGAAATATATTCACTGTTGCTTTAAATATATCAAACCAAAGGATTGTTTTTCTTCCTGGTCTTACTGAGTTCCAACTCTGTCTCATCCTTTTTTCCTATTTTAACATACAATCATAGGCAGTAATAACTGTCATTTTCCTCCAGAAGGGAGTGAATCTTGCAGCTTTCAAGATATTATCAGAAAACAGAAATATCTCCAATGTAGGGTATAACTAGAAACATTTTCTGTCTGCTGTCTGGGACAATGCATAAGAGGAGCACAAGCCCCTGAGGAGACCAACTGTGGTGCAGGTATTTTTGCCTGAAGCATGTGGATCAGACATAATGCTAGGAAAAGAAAGGTAAAATAGCTGTTAGTACCTGATTGCTGGAGTTTTATATGACTGGGATGTATGAGAATGCCTTCTCCAGCCTGCTAATGCAAGTAGTCAAATGACAAATGTTCTCTCCCTGTGGAGTGAGTGCATCTGCAGTGTGAACAAATGGCCCCTATGCTGTATCAGAATGCTTAGGGACGTTTACGTACTGAAAAAGGAGGGAGTGGGGTGGAGAGAATTTTTTTCCTTTGGTCCCAAGTAGGCCAGCATTGAAGGCCCTGGTCTGAATGGGTGAGAGCCTGGCAGGAGCATTTTCCTGTGATGTGTTAATACTGTGTGAGTCCTGTGTGAATTTGATCTCCTAGTCCACAGTTGTCCTGAATGTTGAGAAGGTGTCATTTCTCTGCCTGCAAAGGATGAAAATAGCTCAGCAAAGGTGAATTGAGAAATCCTAT